GTACTGCTTAGTTTACTGTTTAGTGAGAAGTGCAGTGAATTCTGAGGCATATATGTGAGTGATTGATAGGGAGACTTACTTAAAGTCAAGCTTAAATACTGTTTTGTAATGAATGCTGGTTTTATATCTTTGATGAGAACGCAATCTACTTACCAATACTTGTTTGACATTGACGGTGAATATTGGTGAAATCTTACTGTTTTTTTCTTTCAGCAGGCCTTAGACAAAGGGCAAGAGAGCTCACATACAAGCTAACTGATGAAACAATATAATTTAACTAACTATGCTATGCTTGCTTTTAGTCCTCCACTTCTATTGCCTTGAATCTTATCTGTAGTTCCTCCTGTACATTACACTTGAAGTTCTAGACCTCAGCCACAGCCAGCCCTGTCTTTCCCATGTATTGTCATTGTGTCACTGGAGCTTGTTGTTGACTTCAGGTTCCCTGCATTTTGTTTTCCTTTTCTTCTCCTGACGCTACTTGTACCCTCTGATGTATTTGCTTGTTACAGTCAACTTAAGCTGATATTGGTGGGGGTTATCGTTATTTCACCATTTCCGGGCAGTAGTCACTCTCATATCATGAAATGTTGGATTCTGTTCAAAGTTATATCATGCAAGAAAACGAAGGAACAAAAGAAGTGATGCTTGAGAGTACTTCAATTGGGTAGAATTAGATTGAGCTACTGACTAATTGTTGTGTTGAATTGCATTAGGCCGGGTAATAGGATACGACAGGATAAGCACTAACATAAGTTTATCAAATATGCTTTAGCTGACCAGGACTTGTATTTGTGAGGTACTGAGGTAGGACTTGAAAATAATGCATCACTCTGTTTCAGGTTCTTGGCAAGGATGAATGCTTTGAAAGCCACTATGAGTAACACTAAAACTCGAATGATGGGTCAACTATAGTTATGGTTTCTGCTGCTGTCCACTTGGTGGCTACATTCTAGTTCTTGATAATAGTACAAGAAAGATTGCAGCATCTTTCAATTAGGAAATCCCCTGGATATATCTTCACATTCCAGTTGGATTAATGTGGTTACAGTCTGCTAAATCCTTCTAGCCAAGTTAAGGAAAATTGTTGTTGTTAAATTCTGTTATAAGGGTTCTAGACGGTGGGGGAAAATGGTCATTTTTCTTTCTTTGCTCTGGTGGAAAAGGAAAGATGATACCTTTCAATCCTTACAAACTTGTACGCGTGCCCTGCTGCTACATATTCAAAAGCCGACTCAGCAGCCAGTGCTTCACCAAGTTTATTTACACTATAAGCAACACAGGGGTTCTACTGTACACCAAGAAAGAACAACACAGAACGGTGCCTGACTTGCCCAAAGGAATTTTTTGGAGAGACATTGAATTTGAGGTAATTGATTTATCAGATTCGTCTATTTTGAGGGTTCGAAGCTGGAGACAAAGAATGAGAGAAGACGACAGGAAACTGGAATCAGGTCTGTCTCAACAGAGGGAATGTGCGGTGGTGGCCGTGAGTCGGCGGAGGATGTTAAAAATGCTGAAACTGAGGGTCAAACCCGGGTTGGGGCTGGAGAAGAAGGTCCTGAGCTCTTGGCGCGAAAACCATTTGTGTTTGAATTTGGGTTAAAACAAAACTGTGTTGTGCTGGTTAATTTAGTATTTAATCCCAATCTTCTGTTTATTGTCATTTGAGTCCAGTTCTTGTTCTTTGGTTTGTTGCTCAGAAATCAGAATACTGAGTCGGTTAGTAGTGGTAGGTGGTTTGTAGGGATAGAGAGATTTGTGTGAAAAAACTTACTTTCTGGGTTGGGAAAACAGGAGACACTGTTAGGCAAGTTAAGCACAGAGATTGGTGAGTGTAACCATGGGTGACAACAGTGGTTTTGCTCAGGCTGGTATCCCAAAATTCGACATGGATTATGAGCATTGGAGGCTTGTTATGGAGAATTTGTGAAGGTCCAAGGAGTATTGGACAGTTGTGAGTGCCTGCAGAGGGAGAAGTGCTCTCATCATCTCAACAGAAGGCCTTGGATGAGAATCGTTTGAAGGATCTAAAGGCGAAGAATTATCTTTTTTTAGTTCAACTGACAAAAAAGTATCCTGAAAACAATCACCAACAAAGCAACTGCTAGAGATCCGTGGGTCTCCATGGAAACAAATGTCCAGGTAATGCAAGGGCACATAAATCTCAGTTGCAGGCACTGAGGAGGAACTTTGAGATCCTTGATATGAAAGAGGGTGAATTTGTGAATGACTACTTTGGAGGATCATGGTGGTGGCTAATGGAATGACAAACTGTGGTGAGATGATGACAGATGAGAAGATCTGGAGAACACTCACAGAGAGCTTTAACTACATTTGTCTGCTCCATTGAAGAATAAAAAAAAAAAACATTTGAGACTTTGTGTTGTGGATTCTCTGTAGAGTTCTTTACTTGTTCATGAGCAAAAACTCACAAGGCATTCAATAGAAGATGATCAAGTCTTGAAAGCAGCTCTCATGACTTTGGTGGTCATGGAGGAAGAGGACAGGGTAGAAGTGGCTACCAAGGAAGAGGCAGAGTTTGAAATCAAGACATGGTTGAGTCTTTCAGATATCAACAAGATGGGACAATTCAAGAGTGAATGTCATGAGTGGAAGGAACTATTAGCAGTAATGGATCTACCAACAACTGACTCATTTCTCTAACTTTCTCTCAGTATTCCTCCCATCCAGACATGAAGGAAGATGTACTGCTAATGTCATTTTAGTTGAAAATGAGAGTACTGAGTTAACTGAGAAGGCAGACCATCAAAGCTTGATGGCTTTTTTGCAGTCAAATCAGGAAAAACAGACTGAAGCTGGGTGGTGGTTTCTGGACTGAGGCTGCAACAACCACATGAGTGGTGACGAGAAGTGGTTTCTTCTCCAGCTTGATAACAGCTTCAAAATTACTATGAGATTGGGCAATGGCAGCATGCTTGAAGTTCAAGGAAAAGGAAGCATAAAGCTGCTAGAGGATCAAACTTCTCTAGTTATAATACATGGTGTGTTTTTATGTGACTGAATTAAACACTAACGTATTATTCAATGTAGATCGACTGAGAGAGGAATCTCAGCTTTGAGATTAAGAAGGGTGTTTGCAAAATCTTTCAAGATACCAAAGGATTGCTGCTGCAAATAACCATAAAGACAAACAAAATGTTTGTCTTGTGATAGAAACTGGTATTCTTCAGATCGGATATGGGGTGGACATGTCTTGAACCCAGCAGAATTGTTATTGTTATTCTTATTATTTGTGAACACACAATTTAAGGATTCTGCATTGTTTTGCATTAAGAACAAAATACTAGTTGGAAACCCAATTCTCTAATCTTGACCTAATTCTTCTTTCTAGTCGCTCTTTCCAATTCTCAAATTTATCAGCATTCTATCGGTGGTATCCGAGCTATTAACCCTAATCTAAAATATTTGAAACAATTACCTTCAATATGGTATTACCGAATCTATCCATTTCGATTTTGCCCCCCGGCGTGAGAATCCTACCTTCGAGGAGCCTCCGGAAGAAAAAACTAGTATCTTGAATAAAAGGGAATAGCTCTATTCGTAGTTCTCGCTAGTTAGTCTTTTCAATCTTATTCAAACTCACATTCGATAAAAGAAAGAAAATTTAACTCAAGATGACAAGGTCCATGAATCCTAATCAAACAATGAGATTCTCTCAAATAAAGTTATTGCATAACAGAATTCATGTTAATCATGTTACTACCTAGATTTTTTCGATCTTACCAAGCTCGCATCTAGGTCCGAAATCAACTAGAGATGGAGATGAGAAGGCCATACATGAAATTCGTTATTAAACAACGTGATTATGTATTCAACAGTTACAAGTGAAAGAACATTAGATTTAACCACACAGTCCATTCTAATGCTGATTACTAAATCTCTTTTTGTTGAATCTTTACTGAACACTCCTTTGTGGCAAGTGAAAGAATTTCACAATCCAGATTGCAGGGTTTTGAAATTCGTGGATTTGGTATTGTCAATCGTATTTTATCCGGCCTGCACAAGTTTAAAAATCATTGGCTAGTAAAAAGATAGTCATAAGGAGCAAGTTGATTTCTAAAATAATCGTTAATGAGCAAAATATAAGTCCAACCTTTTTTTACAATATTTAGTGCACCAGTAATGATAATATAATTTTCCTACTAAATTAAGTTGGCCTAATAATAATTTGGAAAGATCATTTCATAAGAATTGTAAAATCATGTCAGAGGTTGCGTTGCAAAAATCCTTGATATGATATTTTGTATTAAAATCGTAATTCAATTGTTTTATATCGGTAAAACACTAAAAAAATCCTAGCTCATTTGTTATTTGTTCAGATTAGATGGGCCACTCTCTATGACCTTCAACCACAAAAACGTAGAAGGCCCATTAAGGGCCATTGCTAAAACTGAGAAACAGGCTGAACATCAATGTGAGGAAGTGGGCATCTTATGTAGCTCTGAAGGCCCAACCTCTGGCATAGTTTCTGTTTTGGGCCTGGCATAGTTTTGGTTTCAAATTTATGGATCCACAATAAATCGTTTGGAAAATAACATTATAAAAACTCTCTTAATTAAGGAGCCTACTAGCTTCATCGTTTGGTATAACCATAACGATGTTTGGGACAATGTTTTAGAAATCGTACTCTATCATTCGGTCAAGTTAGATAACGGATCTCAAATTTATAGACGATTTTAGCAGTATGAAACAGTTGAGTTACAGTTCGATCACGATTTTAACAGTATGATCCGCAAATTATCGTCATATTTACTCTGAACAGCGTAAACACCGTAATTGACCGAGTCTTTTGGTTTAATTTTCAACATTAATTATGTGCTTAATAGACAACCAATCACAAAGGATAAGATCCTTTTTCCTTCCATGAAAGAACATTAATTTCTGTCTTCTCTCTTCCCTTAATCAAGGAGCCTAGCTAGCTCGTTTGGTATACCATAACGAAGTTTTCGTCTATTAACTTACGTTACCATAGTAACGTCAAACGTGAGTTGTCAAATTTATCAACTAATTAAGCTAACTTAGCTTCTCCTTCAACCTTTTGGCTCGAAAACGCCATATCTGTACGTAGGTTGGAAAAGTTTGTCTCTCCACCATGTCTGCTGGTTGGAAAGAAACTTCTCGTGCAGAAGTTGACGGCCGGCCGGTCAGAAGAGATTACATATATTTTACGTAATTAATTAACCACTAGACTACAAATTAATTGATTCATGCATGCATGATAATGTTAATCAAACCCACTAAACTCTGCTGCTAAACTAGATTAGACTAGACTAACAACAACGTAGGACGACTAACGCTGACTGAGATTGATTACCACTATTGAATTATGAGATGTTAGCCTATAATTAGGTGGTCAGTTCGTGGAATTCTAAAGCTATAGATTTTTGCTAATTAAGAGGCTGACGCCGTTGGCTACAGGATGAAAATTGTACTAGATAATGATAATTTTTTTTTATAAGAGTGATAGGTTTTACTTTTTTGGTTCGGTACTATTTAATATATTCGAACTTGAGACCTCCAGGTTTCAAATAAGTGATATTACTCCTATTCATTCATGATAATAGTAAATTATATGTCATTCCACTATTATTTGGGGAGAATATTGTAATAATAATAATAATAATAATAATAATAATAATAATAATAATAATAATAATAATAATAATAATAGTGATGGCTTTGGTATTCAAACCGCACTCATTCTTTTGGGTGCATGCAATGCACCCGTCTAATAATCAGTGGTGGAGCGACATTATAGCCAGGAGGGGCTATAGCCGCTCTCAACTCTTAAAATTGCGTAAATTTACGTGTAAATTTTGTAACGAATTTGAAAAATATAATAGGTGGTAAGGCTTTAGCCCGACCCTCCCTCACTACGGCTAATAATTGTCATTTTGAGCAGGCGGTTCATGTCAAGCCGATGTCAATTATAACTTCTTATACGATGGGCGAGAAAATGCATGAATTTTTACTAAAATCATTCAAGGTTTACCTGATTTGAAAAAAACTTAATGTATATAGATCGTTATAGTTTTGAGTTTACCGTTTTTTTTTTTTTTTTATAGTTGGTGCACCGTCCTACGTACCCTTCTTTCACGATCACAGTATTCAATTATTCATCAGCGTATATAAACTTTGATATTTACCCATGTTACGAATACACATTAGAGTTGTCTCTATAAAGGTGTTTACTAACTAAACGCCTTTTTCCAAACATATATATTAATGCCAATGTGTTGACATGTATATATATTGCGCATTTTATTACTTATTAGGATGAAAACGAGTGAAAGCCAGTAAGCCATCATTAATTACACCATTAACTATAAGACAAGAAAAGAAGTGCACGCGCAAGTAATTAATTCACTATTAATTTAAGTTGTTGTGTGATTAGATCACTGAAAAACAGTAAAACACCATCATTTCGGCTATAATTCTTTCCACTTGATTGTAAGGCAAACTCTGTGTCGTCCGGTGCGCGCGTCAAAGAATCGATAACTCGAGGACCGATCGATCCTTCCTTATAGAAGAACAACTCAATCTCGATTAAAATTCGACCACTCTTTCATTTTTTTTTTCCCCATTACTAACGCGATTTGATGTTGAGGTAGAAATTCCACTTTTATAGCATCCACCCTAGTTCTAGTTTGATATCATCTTTATCTTAAATACCAAACACGTAAATAACCAAAATAGGTGAAAATTTGAGTGATGATGATTTAATATAATTAAGCTAACAAAAAGATATAATTTAACAGGTGATCGAGCAGGCCGTGAAAAGAATAGAAAGGCATAGCCGGGTCCCGGCGCAATAACATCAAAAACAAATTTGGGTGGAAATTAATGAATGTAGCTAGCTAGGTGGTGAAATCAAATTATTATTAACAGGAGGAAAGGAGCTATCTAGAATTGGAATTAATTAAGACTATGAATTTATGAGAAACAATTTCACACAAAAAATAAATTCAGTGATGTGGAGTGGATCATGTCTCTACGTACCTAGCTTCCTATTTGTCTAACGTCCCGTTGCCCTGTCCGATGGTGAAGTTCTTTCGTGGACATCCAATAAAATTGGAACGATACAGAAAAAGAATAGGGTCACAAATGCACTATTAGCTAATATATATATACGGATGTTTCCGTCCATCATTTTCTGATTTCAATTCATCAAAATTGAATTTAAAGGTGGACGGTCATTTGAAGCAAAAGTTAATGAGAATGTTTTACCATTATTTTCTAAATTCAAAATTTTTTTGGTAGATGGGATTTCAGAAAGTATATAGCACGAAAAATTTATTAGAGTTGGCATTCGATATAAATTTATAAAAATCTTGCTCGTATTTATCCAGACAACTTGTACGGTTTTGTTTGTAACTTTTTGTTTGTGCTTTTAGAAGGTCATTTTCTCTTTTCCCTACCATCGAGCACTAATGTTGTAGGGTCAATTTGTCTGTCAAAGGCGCCATATCTCTTTTTATTGAGATTTTAATCAATTTGTTCGTATTTTTCTGTTGCCTTTTGTTGTTTATTATTATTATTATTATTGCATAATAATATGGCAATGCACGCATTGCGAGTCCAATTTTTATAGACATATACATATACGTACGTGTACAAACATTTATAAAAAAGAATCTCACTAACTTCTTGATATCCAAATTTTTTTATGTAATTAATTATGATTTTTGTAGGTGTGCAGTTTCTGCGTTTTCTTTGAATAATCCATCAACCCTTTCTTAATTAAGTTAGAGTCAGTAAATTAATGTACTCTTAAACCCAAAATCAATAATCCGAATCATAAGTAGCTTGGATTTAGGTTCTCTCTTATCACTTGGTAGTAAGTGTACACAACCTACAAATAATCAACAACGTCCCGTAGACCTAAAATTGCACTTGCCAACCAAAAAATAAATTATGTACTTTGGTGGGTGAGGTGATTCACGAAGGTGATCCACTCCAAAGTTAATTTACTCAAACACCAACAACCAAAGAATCTCACTAACTTTTTAGATCTAACTTGTCTGAACTCTAATTTCCGAGTCGATTTGAGATTGTACATGTAACTTCAAGATCTCCATCAATTTAGCTAAAGAACTTTTGGTTTTGCTTACGAGATTTCTTTTCAAGGTCTAATGGACCGGTTATCCTCCTTTATCAGTTGTCAATATAAAGATCGATTCCAAAAAAACCCATTATAATTTTTGGTATTGATCTATCATGTGAGTGCAGCAGCGCCCTTTTGGCCAAATTTAGAGTTATTCTCTCCATCTATAGTGAATACTATCTTGTAAAATTATTAATTTATGTTCTACAATGTTCATTCTAGCGATATACATAGAAATTATGACGCCGAAAATGTGTCTATATGTGATACTTACATTAACTTGGGTGTTTTTCTCACAATTTGATCTAAATATAGCCAACGCCGTAAATGGAGCCGCTAGAAACATCGAAAATATATGTAACAATATACGAGAAGAGCGTGATGATTTCTTTAGTTAAGATGCTTGATAATGGATAAATCTTTCCATGAACAACTTTCTCATCCTTTAGTCACCATCCCAGCCAAAGTTTCCTAACAATTATATTGAACATTTTATTAATATTGATGCCCAAAAATAATTAATATTCCCGACCAACCCAACCCCCTTCTTATATATAAACTCCAAAAATTAATCCAACAAGCAGAAACTTCCAACAAGCAACACCAAAATTTTCTTTTCCCACTCCTCTCTCCCACTACTCCCCATATTAAAATCCCCACATAATCAAAACCCACATATAGAAACAAATAGAATATTACTAAATAAAAAAACAAAAGCCAAAAAGTGAGAGAAGACCCCATGATGCACAAAGATAAAGCTCATGAAGAAGAAGAAGAAGAAGAGAAAGAGAAGCTCTTACTAGAACAAAAATCCAAGCCACCAAAATCATCTCCTCACAAGAAAACAACAAGCCTACTAAATCTCTCTTCCTTCTTCTCCTTTTCCTCCCTCTTTTCTTCTTCTCCTTCCTCTTCCTCCTCTAAAAAACCCAAGAAGATGGACTCTTCCTCTCCCTCCTCCTTCTCCTCTTCATCTCCCACCGAGCAATCCACCTTCTACGACGCCGTTTTTCCCGTCCCTAAATCCCGCCGCACTCCTTCCTTCTCGTCGTCGTCGTCCTCCTCATCCTCCTTAAACGACGAGTCCCCTTCCCTCCCAGCCACCCCTCTCAACTACCCATCCGGCGGCGTCCCATTCTCCTGGGAAAAACTGCCCGGAATCCCGAAAAAGCCCGATTCCCCGTCGCTAAAGGTCACCATTAGCGACGACTCGAATCCCAACCCGTCACAAAAGGTACTACCGTTGCCTCCACCGATCACTCCAACCGCCGCCTCAAGGAGGTTCAATTTCGAGGAATCGGGCAGGGTCAGGCGGGCATCGACGTTCTCCACCTCGTCGTCGCGGTTCGTCGTCCCGAGGGACCCGTTCTTCGCGGCATTGGTGGAGTGCTCCAAAGGCGACGGGAGTTTTAGCGACGACCAGGAGCTTTTGGGTGGTGGTGGCGGCGGGGCGAAGGTGGGAAGGAGCATTAGCGACCGGTTCGGTTTCGTCGGGATGTACGCTTCGTGTAAGCGGACGTGCGCCGTGTCGGAGTCTATTGTGTACATGCCGAGGTCGTCGCCGGGCCGGCCGTCGTACGATCTGCTCAGCCGCCGGCGGTGAGTTTTGGGTATGTAGCAAATTTAGTACCCTCTATTCTGTACTGTATGTGTATGTCTCCCTTGGTCCGACGTCGTTTCTCTGTCATCGTCGTGTAAAAGATTTGCCAGCGACTTTTTTTTTATATTTGTAATTTTATTTTCGGGTTTTATTTTTTTGTTTTATTTGGAGTAATGTGGTCATGTGGGAGAGGTGGAAGGGACATGAAGCATGAGAAACCTGTCACTCCCCACATTGTAAGAAAAGGACACAAAGGCTATATAATTAATGTTAATATCTATGTGTTTGTGATTAGTGATATATATAAATTAGTTCTAATTTCAAAATAGAGTTTTCATTATGTAAATAATGCTGTGGTGATTTGTAAGTTGAAATGGAGTGAAGTGATGGTCATGGTACTGATCATGTGTTTTTTTAAGTAATGTGGTCATGTGTCATAGTTTTGCTATTGTATTAGTATTGCTCAAAATTGTCTTTTATATTTTACGATGACAATGAGTGGGTTGGGTGAACTTTGGTCTCGGATTGATCCACCCATTTATCAACGAGTTGATACAATGCTGATTTGCTATCCACTCATATTCTTCTTTGGGTTGGATTCGGTTGAATTGTGGGTTGACCCTCAAAATTAATTCTCGGAATAATCATTAGAAAAATTGACAAATATTTATAATAAATTCCTCATAAGTTAGGAAGATACTAGCAATTTAGACACTTTACACTTTGTTTCTTGTTGATCTATCTAGTACTTGTGATATGTGATTTTTTCCACTTCTCATACAAACTTTTCAGTATCAAAGCCATATATCCTAAAGACCAAAACTCTTTATATTTGTGGATTTCAAATTTCTAGCAGAGGTATCAAATCTTTCATTACTCAATCAACCATGTGGTGTAGAGAAAATTGTTGCTCTTTATGACATCGATACAATTAACAATTTTTATAATTTCCATCCCAATATCTAACTGATATTGCACAATAGTAATTAATAGTTGTAGTTCAATTTTTTTATGCCTATAGATTTAGATGGTCATAGATGCGGGTCAATTGGGTGACCCGCAACCCATATCCACCACCCACTTATATAAGTGCCGTAAAGTTTTTTTTTTTTCCACAATGATTAATCCACACACATCTATTACCCACCCACTACCATTTCAGTTATTTATAGATGGGTGGATGTCAAATTCTAATTAACCACACACTGCCCACCGTTAATGTAAAGCATTGCAATTCATCATCCTTTTCTTCCCCTAATTAGTAGCTCAGCTAGAGTAGATAAAACGATAGATGTAATAATGATTAGTAGACGGCAGGAGTTATTATCAAACATAAGGAAGGAAATATTAGGACGGAACAATCAATGAGTTAGGCAGTGGATTTTTGGGAAGTAAAAAAGGTTAGGAGAAATAGGTATGTATAGGGATGGCAACTTTGCCCATACCCATGGGTTTTTTATTATCCAACCCAATTGGGTTGGGTATGAAATCCAAATAGATGGATATGGGTAGAGTTTGATGGGTTTGTACCCATACCCATTTACTTTGAGTTGAGTTGGGTTTCTATCAAATGGATTTGGGTTTGTACCCATGCCCAAATACAAATTACAGTTTGGTACCCAAACTTAATAGATATGCATGTTTAGTACCTAAATTTATTTTTTTGCATATAAGTCCTCAAAAATATCGATGGAAAATTACATTTTGGTACCTAAATTTTTTTGGTCTTACATTTTGATACCTAAACTTTTCAAGTTTTGCAAATAGGTCCAATTTTTGCATGTGTAGTTAAAACACCCTCAAGTAAATGGATATCCATATCCAACCCATACCCATTTAGATTATGGAAGCCCCAAACCCAAACACATCTATAAACCCCCAAATCCATTTGCACTTCACCCATACCCAACCCATTATCAATGGGTCTACTTGGGTTTGGGTATAATTACCCATGGGTGGGTAATTTGCCATCCCTAGGTATGTATGATGAATTTGTCATTAGCCAATCTTGGTATTGGTATTGAGTGATCTCTCTTATAATCTTTTGTGAGTATGTAAGGGAATTGTAAAAGGTCGGGAGTACAAGGAATAATACAAATCTAAGAAATAGCTTATCGAAATGTTATCAAAATATTCACAATACTTACAATCACGAGAACAAACTTTTTGATTCCGAGTAATATAACTAGTACTTTTTTAAAAACAGAAGTCGTCACTAGCTAGTCAGTATTGAACGATAACCATGAACACTGAGGAAAATAATTGTAATATGACAACATATATGTGAGCTTTCTTGCTCTGCGCCTGCAAGTTCGATATTTTTAGTTAGTTTGTCAATGACAACACGACACACTTTCTGTAAGGCGGTTTCCCACCGATTCAAGGCGCATAGGCGAGAGGCGAGTAATTAAGGCGAATCTTCTTACATTAAGGATGGTAGGACACCTATATGAAGTATTCGATTTCAATAGATGTCAAGTATAAAATTCAGATTATTACCACAAATCGATTCGATTACATATCCATCGATCACGACAGAAACAAAGAGACACACCTAATCGATGTTTTGCGCTGTATTACATGTGATGTTCAGTGGGGATTGGAAGAGTGTCTGTCTGACTGACAGTGAGAGAGTGAGTGAAAGCTTACGTTAACCAACTTCGCCATGTGACTTCGTGAGATTCAGTAAACTCAGAAGCCAAAAGAGAGATAACTACAAAAGTGCATGTTAGTTGCAAACCCTAGCTAGTGGACCAGACCACGAAAACAAAATGATTAAAGACAAATTTCCATCACGTTAGTGGCCAGCCAGCTAGTGATGCAAACTGATATTTGTTTATGTGGTTAAGCAGAATGGATTAGTATTTCTTACTTACCTATAATCTCTTAACTATAATGATTAATTAATCTGTAATCACATGTCTATAGCTTTGAGGATTTGTCGCTGATATATACCATTCACGGGCACATGATCAGAAGACATAAGAGTACAAAGTGTTCTTTTGTTCCCGAGTGTAAAACCTGTTCATGTGTTTGTTTTTTTATCTTAAATTTTGCTAACACTTTGTTTATCGTGTTTTTTTTTATGTGTGTGTGTTTACTTGATGATGATCTCGAGAAATCTCAGTGTGTATTGCCATCATTTGAATCAAAGTGCTAGAAATCACACTGCCGGGTTGACTCCCAATCTCGAACCAGCTTTCATTAGCCATCACTAATTTTTGCCGATTATCATTACCCGGCCCTAGCTAGCCATATGTAGGAATGACAATTTGGTTGGAGTATTATCGATTTTCTTATATATCATCCTCAAATTAAGGTTTTTTGTTTGACTTAAATCGAACTATCAGCCGCTACGATTGGGAGTCATGGTGCATGGGTCGATACACGTTTGGGTTGACAGTTTTAGGCCTGGTCTATAACCGTTTCCTTTACCATATTGGATTAGGTTTAGACCCACATGGAGAAGTATAAATACTCATCATCTCCTCTGTAATCTGTAATCTTCTCGATATAGTGAAACTGACTCTCATGCCCGTGGACTAGCCAACACACATCGTGTTAGTGAACCACGTAAATCGTGTGTCGTGTGCTTTCTGTTTTCCTATTCCTGCTTTCTCGATTCCGGTAATTTCCCGATCTGTAGCAGCGCAGTAATAACAGTTTTAAAATCATAATCATTCACATGATCAAAATTGTGCGAGTTGTAATATCACATCAAAATCTATCCATATGTTAGTAAGGAAAACCCTCACTTGCATCGTCTCCGAATAATCATATATAAAGTTTTTGAAATAATGCAAAATTTTCTTAGAATATCGGTGTTAATTGAAGTTTCTTTCTCACATTATTTGTAGAAATGAGAAAAATGAGCAAGATTTGGGGTTTAAGAGATAATTATAATGTTCGAGAGAAATGGATGACCGAAGTCTCAAAATGAGAAAGTCTAGAACATATTTATGAGACATTTTCGATTGGATTTGATACAGATACATACAATACCAAAAACGCACCAAATCCATCACCCTCCACAATGGATTCAAGGAAACCCCAATCAAAGATAAATATTGGTTGGACAAAATCAATTCGGATTTGATTGGGTACCCAGGATGGTTAGTTATTTTGTCATCCCTAACCATGTCACGATATAATGGTCTCTGAGTCTCGACTAGCAGCAGCTTTGTCATCCATTTTGTTTTCTCGTACGAACTGATAGTCACTTAGTTATCTTCCGATCCAATCCAACGTCGATGAAAATAACCCAAATTGCATAAGTACTTTACTCAAGTACCAAATCCAGGTAATTAAAGGTTGAATTCTCATTAAAAATGGATATCCATATATATGGCTCTTGTTCAAATTTGAAATATTTCTTATGCATAATTCAACTTCAAGAGGCACACATGATTAAGTAAATCAAAGGCATAACAATAGTATATCATACCAACCAATAAATTTTAAATATGAGGAAGCAAGAGTGTTGCTCTTGACTTGGTGCATGATTATAGTTCCTGCTGCCAAAGAAGAAGAAGAAGGGTTGTTGACCTACCTTTTAGTCTTCCAAGCAGCCCCACTTATTTTTTTCCATGATAAAATTTAATGTGTAGTATAGCTCACCAACAATTGATGTTTGCACAATTGATAAAGTTGCAATGATTCTTCTAATTATAGCTTGCGATCGAATTGGATCAAGTATAATATTCCAATGAACTCTTAATCTGATTGTAATCTAAATATTTTAGCGTGACACTATACCTCCGATGAATTTTCCAGCATATATCAAACTATTTGACAGAATATCATATTTCGCACTTCGTACATGGCCAACTCTGTTTAACAACATCGACGTAATCTTGGCCCTTACCAATTTGGAACTTACATCTTTATAAGGTTATTGTTATTCAGTCACATCCATTAAATCATTTCCTACCTATGTGCAATAACTTATGATTACTAATTACAAACACTCGCCTGGCCTAACTGGATTGCAAGAGTAGGTTTGGGACACAGAAATAATTTTAGTGGGACAATAGATAAGAAAGGTGCACTTAATTTTTTGTTGAATTGATATTCCTCCCCAAAATATGAAATCTGGCACCAACCCATTTAATTCTCAAACCTACACTGTCAACTCACTCGTGATTTCCATACCACACAAGCGCAAATTAGCCCTAGATTCAATTATTGACTTCTTAATTCGAGCAAAATATACGCAGAAGTAAAATGCGAAAATTATCAATAAATTTTTATAGTGCGAGGATGATAAAATTTTACACTTTAGGTTTCAAGATCTGGAGCGGATTACTATGGTCTGTGTAATGACAAACACACACCCAAGTTCTTTGCACCGAATATTACTTATGTACATGTTTTGCTGGTTATGATGAATGCAGATCAATCCACATTGATCGAACAAGGACTGGATAGAGCAAAGATGATTATAATTTTCAATTATAATCATGATACCGCGAAACTTATTCTCTTGGATGGGTGTCCTATCCTTTACTATCAAGGAAAAAAAACAGAAAAATATAACAAAGAAATATCGAATTCGGTAATTAATAACAAACAAGAATCACGATGAATCGCATTACTCCGAACCGGAAAATGTTGAGCCCTACATGCATTAAACCCTTACATAACTGGATTTGTATTTGTATAGCCTTTGGGTTTGTGCGTCCCTTTAATAGTGAATCAAAATGGAAATATCACATGACAATGGTGGGAATATTGTTCATCCATCAGAAAAGCGTAGGTTCATGAGTTGTCTTTTTCCTTCCCAAAGCTCGCCATTTCTTTGCCCACTTCATGATATGATGAATTGTTGTTGTCGTTCTTTTAATTGCTTTCCATTTTGCGTTATATCTATCAGCACAAAGAAAATGGGGTTTGTTGATAAAAAAAAAAGGGTTTGTTGATAATGGTCTCTATTATTGGGCGTATCTTTGTGAAAATCAATCAAATAATATATTTTACTACCAAATTTGTTTTAATCGAGAGCATGCTAATAAATTAAGTGCACTGAAGCACTTTTAGTCAACCCACAATCATTGAAAGAAAATAAGAAAATGAAAATTACATATGAATTAGTTGAATCATCAATTCATCATGCATGAGCAACCATGGAAACATATTCTTTTGTACATAAAAAGTTACAAAATTGTAAATTAGTGTGAAAGTAGCATAGAATAAATGATATACAAAAATGTGCATTTTGTATACTTAGGAAGTGCGAATGGAAACACATATGCTCAAGAGAGTGCTAGTAGAGATCATATATGTTGGAGGCTTGGAGCAAAGTCAACAAGTTAGTATCACCTAACTCATTTATGCTTCCAAATCTCCCTTTTTAATAATCTTTTTGTCTCCAACTTCGAGTCCCACCAGCCGATCAAGGTCTTGATTATCTTTTGACTATTCTCCTGATCAAATAATTAATTAAGATAGGGGGTACTCATCACTTCGATACAAGAATTTCCTCCAACAGCATCTTAATTAAGTTGTAGATAGAAGTGATTGAGAGACCATGATTGAAAGTCACGAGGATGGATCAAAATCAAAAGCATTGCAACAAGTGCTCAAGATTGTGATGTAGGTCTTTTTAGAGGGATGGACGAGGGGTAATAGTCCACATAATCTTTCCCATTTTCCCAATGTTTAACATATACAAGTATATAACACATACGATAACATCAGACGTATAAGAGTTATAGCGCCTCGTATACTAGACGTAACTCCGTCACTGACAGAAAGTATTTACATATTCTCTGTCTTTTTTTTATTATGAATAATATGTGTTATAAACGCGCTGCTACGGATCGGGAAATCGCTGGAATTGACAAAGCAAGAATACGAAAGCAAGAATCGAAAACACAGACACACGATTTACGTGGTTCACTAACACGATGTGTGTTAGCTACGTCCACGGGCGAGAGAGAGCCAATTTCACTATATCGAGGAGATTACAGATTACAGAGGAGTATGAGAAGTATTTATAGTACTTCTCCATATGGGTCTAAACCTAATCCAATCTGGCAAAGGAAACGGTTACAGACCAGGCACAGAACCCGAACCCAAATAACATTGAGCCCATACACCGTGGGCCGGGGGCGTTGCCCCTGGACCCCACTCGCTGACCGGGTAGCGAGACCCCCGATTACCAGTCGTAGCGACTGATAGTCCGATTCAAGTCACATCAACAATATGGGTTATATATGCTTATGCATGCATGGAGTTGACTATATAGACATGGAGAGAATGGAAGTAAAGTACACCGCCGACGAAAATTGAAAGAGAAGCAAACCGAGTGAAACAAGGAATGGGCAATGGTGGGCAATATATCTCACGCAATTGATCATTTAATGACCACTGTCGAAGCTTAGCCGGACCGCAACCAAAATCTCGTGGCAAAAAAGTTCCAAAATCTTTGGTGCACCGACGGATCCATATTTTTATTTTGCTATGCTATATGCACTTAATTACTTGCTTTGCTTGCTGCCGCTGTGCAGTTGTGAAGTGTGTGGCACCGACGGATCCAATTCCAAATCAAACTTCTTATATACTGTGAGCCTCTCTATATACCGGTGCTCTTAATTAATTATGTGTTTTCATTATTGTGCAGTTTGATTAAGATGTGAGGATTAATGTATATTAAGCACCTTTTGTCCTTACCTTTTAAGAGTGGGATGACTAACTGATTAAGAAATAAATGTAAATGTATTTGTACTTTTTAGAAGAAATTTGTTGGCAAGTGAAGGTCTAATTAAGTAGGATTAAGATCGAGTATTTTCACTTTTATGGAAGCTTCTTCTTCATGGTCAAAATCTGAAAGTGTAAAATCGTAAAACAAAGCATATATTATTTTGTGTAGATCCCACCAACAATCAACAAAAAAAATTATGCATTATACGATCTCAGCTGAAAGTTGAAATTGTGGGTTTCATATTTGAGTCTACCTTTTTCCTTTCATTTATATCCTTAGTAGTTTTTATTTTATACTAAGAGAAGAGGGTAAAGTAACATTTTACCCATAAAGCATGTAAATCAATCCATTAACTAGAATCTCAATGTGACCGAAAGGCCTCCAGTTCGAATCGCGATGACCCCTATCTGTTTATGTTTCTGTTCAGCACATGGTGTCCGGACCTGTGCCTGTGCAAACTCCAAGCCTATTTGAGTGGCTTGAGTTTGAGAGGGTGTGCTAATAAACGGTATATGATTCACAATTGAACCTCTCCCAACAGCTCGAGTTATTGAGATCAACTGCTTCTTCTTGACACTCAATAACCAAATGATGTATTGTCAAAATGCTATCTATTATACTATTATAATGATTATTACAATACATATTTAATATTTGCAACTTTCAAACCACCCATAGTTAATTAGATATTGCATGTATCTTCTTGAGCCAAGTGCAAGCCCTAAGCCAACCCTTTTCTTTTCATACCCTTCCTTAATTCTTTGAGGAAGAGAACCCTTATTTTAAGTCGAGTACTTTAAGACTAATTATGATCATAAGGAAAAGCAGAGGGTCAATAGTGGAGTTCCCTCGACAGGAGAAAATGAAATCATATTATTACATCCCGCAACCATTCCTATCATCATCACCCTCATCGATTAAAAATTGATGAATCATCAATATTTCGTTAACATTGATTATTCACGTCAATTCTTTGTATGAAAAAAATTCAATAAAAAACAATCCTTACTTGTTATTCCTCCGTAGAAAACATATTCGTATCGACATAAAGCATATTTCATATGTGTGAAATGTATATTCGTCATTTTCACAACAACTTGTATTCCTCCAATTTCTTCTTTATCTTCTTTCACTTGCTTTACATATCGGGTGCTCCAACTTCCACTATCTCCATTCTACTGTTATATCCTCTCTTCTAATCCCTAATTTGTCCCAAAATTATTGGATCTTCTCTTCACTATCCTTCTAATACGTCCCTTAATATCGATTTTCTACCAAAATCAAGGATATAGTATAAGACCTAGCTCCCATTTATATATTGAACAAAAAAAACCTCCCAATCCGTATAAAACTCTAATACCATATCAATAATCAATTCTTCCAGATTAAGTTAATTGTTCAATAAATCATCATCACCATCACACCACTAGCAAACTTTCATTAAAAACAACGAAACATACACCACAACTATCCTAATCCTATCCAATGCCAATGAACCCTACAAAAAAAGAAAGACAATTGAAGATGGAAAACTAAAAAGTTATCAACTTTGTTGGTGGGTAGGGCAGTAATGACGACTCACTTATTGCGGCATGGCTCAATGACTATATGCATGCCTGTCCACGGGTTAGAAAATGTGGTAAATGAAAGAGGGGGAAAACAACAGTAGTAATGGTTTATTATGAAACAATAGGGATCATATGTGTAAACAAATGTCTCCTCTAGTTTCCCATACAAAATGGTTTCTGAAAATGATGAAACATGAAAGTATTAAATTGGAGAGGGGGGAGAAAAGGGTTGATTGATATTGTTAATTTGCTTGACAAGAAAGGAAGTGCATGTGGGTGAATTTGAAAGCATTTACTCCCCACTCTTATTAGGGTTTTGTTTCCTTCAATGTTCTGCCCTTTTTCTTCGGTCGGGACGAGTTAGAGTGTTAACTCAATATGGGTTAGTTTCATCATAACTACTATAATTATATTTCATTGTTTTCAAATCAAAATTAATAATAAAATAATTAAAATAGATTCCCATCCAAATAGTTTCTAGAAATGATGAAATCATGAAAGTTTTAAATTGGAGGAGGGGGAGAAAGGATTGATAGATGTTGTTTGCTTGACAAGAAAGGAAGTGCATGTGTTGGTATTTGAAAGCAATTACTCCCCCACCCTTCTTACTAGGGTTTGGTTTGCTAACATGTTTTTGTCCGCTGTTCTTTCCCTTTTATAACCTTAATTAACTAATTCCCAAGTTGCTAAATTTTGGCCAAAATTACAAAGGTTACTTGAACCACATTGGCTCAAAGACGTAACAGTAGTATACCTTTGTTTCACTTCTAATTAATATATATATTATGTAACTAGTATAAAGATAAACTCAAAAGTCAACAATGTTTATCGCTATCGGTTGTCATTGTAAGTGCTGAACGAGCACGAACAACGCGAGCTTCAATTGCAGATGAATGATGAAATAGTATAGGACACCTTAAGAACGATATCCCATGATAAATTTCTCAGTTCGAAGGGAACATCTAGCGCCTAGGGGTGTCGGTTACCCGAACCGAAACCTGGAAAAAACCGAAAACCCGAACCCGATAAGGACTTGCGGGTTTCGGTTACCTGAAACCCGAAAATTACTTATCGGGTTCTGGTTCGTTTAAAGCAAAACCGAAACCCAAAAATCCGAACGCCTAAGAATACGGGCTGAGTTCTATTCATTGGAGGTTTTTAGATGAAACCCGAAAAACCGATAAGCAAAACCGAACCCGAAACCGAAAAACCCGAAACCCGAAACGAACTCGAACCCGAAAACCCGAAAATGTATATAATCGAGTCGGTTTCGGGTAAACCCGAAAAACCGAACCCGAATGGACACCCCTACTAGCGCCTTTAAGGTTTTCATCAACTCTGTCCTAACGAGTAGGGAACATCACAACGCCTTTAAGGTTTTCATCAACATTCACTTAGCCGTCGACGACTAGTTCCAAACGAAACCCAGTCTTAAACGAGCATTTAATAGGCCACAGAATGCCAACCATAACTAGCCACTAGCCAAAGAATGGTCCAACATCAAAATGACCAAAAACATTTCGGTCCCTGTCTCTGGACTAATCACATATATATTACATCGAAACATAAATCTGGGATCCACTACGACACACTCAACATCTTATCTGAAGCAAAAGGTTTAGCCAGATTAAGAAAAACACAAGCAAATAAGGACATCTCAAAACCATCCGAATGAAGAATCGGGTCGACATGTTCCAACTTCATGCCACCCTGCATAAAAAGGTACAGCCTACCTTTGCTCATAAATCATCTACAGAAACACATCAAGAAATGACCAAACAGCTGCTCTCCGCGCGAAGTTCAGACCGTTAAACAAAGCAGTGCACAAAGTAATGCTCGATAACTCAATACAGTACTCTCGGTACAGAACGAATGTTATATCTTACAGAAGCGTGGTAAGTTTCTCCATCAAAATTTGTTACAATCAACAACACCCTGACTTTTGCATCCCCTGATGGGGGCACCGACACCGGTTTAGAAGTGGAAAGGAAAAGCAAAGGGAGAGTATGTTCTTGTAAGGAATGGGAATAGGAGGAATGGGAAAAACATGATGGAATTGCAGTAGTAATTGCCTTTTGCCCTTGCAACCCACCCAACTAACTTGAATATCTACTTTCTCTCTCAGCCTTAGATATGTAGTCCTTTTCCCTTGACTTATCATCATCGACTAGCTCGAAAAATGTTTGTTGGGTCATGCAGTCGTCACAACATATGTCGACTTTCTAAGACGTGGATAATGTACAAAAACAGGCATTTCATTCTACAAAGAAAGAGCAAATATGAACTCACATTTTTCATCTCCTGGCTTCACTCCCGAGTCGCTTCTCTTCTGTTCTGTGACGAAACAACTTAGCTATGGCTCTCCTTTCACAATCCTGCAAAATATCAAATGACCATATCAAGCTATTGAGTTGGCTGCCGAGTGCTTGAGAATGGTTTTCAATGAACTTTTGACGTCAATGGTTTCACCTTGAACATATGGAAGTAAAACGGTTTGCTGGGATTCATCTTTCTCAACTTCTGGTACGTATAGGCAAAGCTCAGCTGGTCACGGGGAGTAAAGCGCTCAACCTCATTGTACCATAGACAGGAGAACAGATTCGACATGGGGGTGTGTGCTCTCACAATTAATGATCCTTCAGGTACATCTACGTCAAAATGGAAACAAATTGTCAGGAGGAAATTGAAAGAAGACTAAAGTTGAGATAGGGATGGCAGATCTTACTGCTCGGAAGAAGCTTGTTAGGATCAGAGGGATCGAATTTCGTCAGCCCATCTGATTGGTAGAAGGCGAATTGCTCGTCTATTACAGTGTGATTGTACTTGTTCAGCCTTTTATTCTGTACAACCTCTTCCCACACACAATGGCGATCATAGTGATTGGAAATGGCATACTCATGACCTTTACGCCACAAGAGATACTCCAGGACCAAAAGAGGATCAAGTTGTAGGCGTAACTTGCTATCCAACCAGATTGAATATCTGAGCAAAATCAATGCAATAAACAAAATCACATCATTTATTACTTGTGATACTAGAATTCACAGAAAATAAAGCCCAGGTAAAAGTTCAAACACTAGTCAGCATAGTGATAGAAAAGACATTCTTGTGTTTATTTCAGATTAGAATAACTGGATTTGAAATTCATTTTACCTAGACAAGACAAACAATCTAACAACTCAAACGGAAATAAGACACCATTATCTACAATAATATTCACCACATTGCATCAATTTGAATGCACATTGACTGGTACTTTCAGAATTAATTCTCACCTCGCAGAAGGGAACAGCCTGTGTGGCAATAATTTCGGTATTTTACCAACCCTCCGCATATCAGTATAAGGTAAATTCTTCACCAGTACAACCTTCCACAGACCAACAAATCCTGCCGTGTCTGGCATATTGCCCTCAGAAGATAGTGTCTGCAATGTAGCTTCGTCCACAAACATGACAAAGCAAACATTTTTCCTTGACAAACGAGTGACCTGAAAAAGCAGGACATGAATTCAAATTCGTATCAGTGCGTTAGAATTAAGAATTGTCTGCCACAGTAAAATAACCCACAAAATCATAACAAGTAGAATTCATTGGCAAGAAGGAGAAGTATAGAAAATAACCAACATAACAGAGTAGCAACTCTATGGGAATATACAATTTGGCAGTGCACTCACAAGCTATGCGCACTATACTAAATTCATCACTTGATTGGCATTATCACATATTAGCAATATTAAAGCAAAGCATTTGCTTCCTATCATGGGCAATTCTCTGACGTTTTCATGTTTCCTCTCACTATCGATTTACGGTTCATAAGCAAAATTGTGATCATACTGTCACGGATTCAAATTTCCTTCCGTTACGATTTTATTGGTGCATAGGCAGTAAACTCATGATCTCGCCGTTCCAAAATGTTTCTATTCTCCCCCTCTGTCCATCACTAGTTATTAGTGTTCTCAGAGTCATGAGTAAGGGCATACATACCGCCTTGCTGAAAGGTGACCTTAGGCGATCCGAATTTCCAAAGATGCAAGAGATGACAGCAATGTGGCATCTACTGATATAGTTTGCATCATCTTCCGACAGATCAAATCCTGTACTCGGATAGCCTTCAGGACCTTTGACAAAACCACATTTTATTTTCTGATCACGTGCTGAAAAAGATTCCTCCCTTTCTTCTAGGCTCTGATGCCCTGCAAATCTAGGTTCCCAAAGTGCCTCTCCTCCAGAATTTTCCTCCATGTCAGCATATTGGAGGGAAAATCTTGAGAACTTTCTATTTTCAAAAGGCTCCACAAGTTGAGTAGTAGAGTTCAGAAACTTCATCTCACAGGACCCTGTACCATTTGAGCAGTCAATGTTAAGGAAAAAGAGATTTAAATAAGAATTAGAGCTAATTTTCAGCTAATTATCCTAAGAAAATATAAACCCTGTACAAGAGTTAATTCTGATAACAAAAAGAAATATTTGATAAATAGGAAGATAACAGAATCTGAACTGAACTTTGTGGTTTAGCAAATATGCCTAAGGGCTAATGACATGATGCTATTGCTAATGGGCACCATTCTTCTTCTATTTGTATGGGACAATAAATCTCAGGCCGTTGTACAGCATAAGATTTAGAACCCTGTATAAGGGTATTGCCGCACTTGTCTAGAAATATAATTCAACATTACATGCAAAAGATTTTATATCTACAGCTATGAGTTTGGTGGTTATGAATGCCTCCCAACTCGGAAACAATTCCAAATACAACCTATCATCCAGAAGCCAGAAGTTTCAATAACCAAATTCATGGCTTCATTTGAAAGAAAACTACAAATTAAAGAAGAAGAAAAAATCCAAATCTATGAAGCTCACTGAATGGCTTTTCAGTGCTGGTTTGATGTCACAAGAATGTCCATAAGTTCCAATAACCAACTGGAATAGTTATTTGGGGGCCATCCAATTTTATAATCGTTTGAACTTAGGGTGGATTGGATTTTGAACTTTGGGGGCCATTCCAAAGTTCATTAAATCCAGATCTGCAAAACTCAGATAATGAAAAATCCAGTGCAGAAGAATCTCATAAAGTGTCATGCCGTCATCTATTAAATTAACTGGAATACAAACTAGATTCACCAATGGACAACTTCCAAAATATAAGGCCACTTTTAAACCCCAAAAGTCAGGCAAGGACTTCAGAACGACGTCTGGAAGAAAAGGTTTACAGAATAAAGGGTATGTGTCCTGAATATGTGCATCCTTTCACACATGCTCTTTCATAAGCTTAAATTTTGAAACTATAACTGTCATATCAAGATCAAGAAACCAGCTAACTTTAAATGCTTGAAGTGTATATCCATCCTGTCCATTGTGTATCACCATGGAACATATGCTTAATGCCCATGCCCCATGGTCAAATTACTTGCATTTAAACCAATTGCATCAATAGCTTGAAGAAAAAGATAGTTTTTTTGTGATCCTAAAAGAGAGTTTTTTTGGTGATCCTAAAAGTAACTCAACGGCACATGTGAGCAGAAAAAATTATGCAAATGGGGAGCATACACCAAGAATATTACCAGAAAATTTGCGTCGCCTTGGCCTTTTCTTCGAATCAGACTTTGATTTACTCGAACTCTGTCCATTTCCATTTGCATGCTGAGGATACGAATCAGTATTGACTACTACAGAACTTGATCTCGACCCCTTATCAGATGTACCCTGAGAAGTTTCCTTAATCTCTTTGCCAATGAGTTGATCCTTACCTTTAGCAGGGAAAACATTAGAAGACTCTCTGGTGAATTCATCAGAGTGGCGCCCATTTCCACGAGAATCATGAGAATCGATACCATCGTCATATTCGTTATCACTATCACCAGCCTCATTCTGCTCTTCCAGATCATCATCCTCAAGTAACTGACTTCTTCCACCATTTTGAGCTGTCGATTGCCCCACACTCCTTATCGAAGCCTCATACTGTGCTTCATACTTTATCAGTTCTTTACGCCCATTTTCATTGTACAACCCAGATCCTTTTTTATCCAATCCCTTAGAATCATAACTCTGGGATGTTTTCGGCTTGACATTGTGTTCCTCATGAGCAGATCCACCAGTAGAACCCTTGCCTGTATGCGCTACATCATCTTCGTCATAATCATCATCCCTTCTCCTATCGTCCTTATCCCAGTACCTAGAATCTCTGCCATGCGATACCGAACCTTTACCAAACTCAAGGACTTTAACCGAATCTGTACGTGTCACATTTGTAAGAAAATCAAGGTCACTCTTCATATCGTCATCTTCAACATGAGGATCATCTATTTCACTACCAACACCTATATCCAAATCACACAGCAACCAAAATGGAATAAGAAACCCAATGAGATTAAACATGGGTCACATCAGATACACCAGTACAACCCCTCCAGAGCTTTCACAACAATATATTAAACTCTCTGTCCCAGAAGTTCAAATATAGCAACCAAACTAAATCAATGCAAAGCAAGTAGAAACCAATGTGGACTCTTCAACACAATTCATCTTCCACTGATCCACTCTAACAAACAGAGTTCCTCTCTCTAATATAAGCAACGCATATTCGAAAATCTTTTTTGCTGGATAGGGTATAACTGACCTTTATCCTCAGCAGACAAGTAATTATAAGCCAGCCCAGTGACCACAAGCACCAGGCAGAGGAAAACAATCACGGCGCCAATGGAGAAGCTGCCGGACCTGCTCTTATCGGATCGACCAGATCGGCGGACCCGACCCCCGGGCTTGTGCTGCAGGAGCTGCTGTTGCTGCGAGGAAGACGCCCGAACCCCAATGGAGACGTGATCCGCCGGGGTGCCGCCGTTGGAGTAATGCTGACCCGATTGCCTGTACTGAGCCATCTCGCCTCCCGCCCTAATCTGGTCAGCAAGGAGTAAGCATTGGCGGTGGCAGCAGCAGGAGGAAAGAAACCTCGTTTATTCCCTGCCTTCTGCTTCCCCCCAGTGAAACTGAAATCACCGCCGGATAAGAACAGGGAGTGGGAGAGAGAGATCAGGTGAGTATTTCCTTGGGGATGCGGATTCCGGCGAGGAAACTGGCGGAGGAGCCGCCGGATTGGGAGTTTGGGGAAAATATTTTTTTTCTCGGAGATAGATATGAATAGAAAGAAGAATAAAAAATGGGTTTGAGTTGAGAAAGGTAAGAAATCTATGGAAGTGGTGGAGGGGAAGCGACGTGAAGGGGAAGGAAAGGAAACGAGTGATCGATTTGACTCACCGTCACCGGCGATTCGTGTTTTGCTGGTGGCTTGCGGTTGCGGAGCTCTTCTTTTTCCTTTTTAAATTAATGCCGGGGGAAGGGTGAGCGGTGGAACTGGGCCGGGTTTTCTCACCTACTTTTGGGTCGGACTATGTGACTCACATTTCTTTTCCTTTTTTTTTTAATATATAATAATAACAAGGGATAGCAATTTAATTAAATTAATTTTGTATGGTAATAGCATTTGGGTAAATCTTAATTTGTGATCATATATTGATACTGCAACTCTAATTTCATTCTATATAACTTATTATATTTTCTAGTTTGGGAGAGATTTGACTAGTGAATGAGTAAGGTAGGGTTCGAGGAGAAAGGTACCATGCGTTTGACTTCTGCACGCTGAGGTTCTATCTATCTCCGATTGCAGTAAACAGGGTTTGGTTGTAGGAAGAGGGTTGGCTGCTCCTCTACTAACATTCAACTCTGGAACAGGAATAAGCTTTCTTGATGTAAGTCGAACTTCATTAGTCTATCTCCTAAAGCAATTTACGCGATGCATGAATGTGACACAGATTTTTCAGTTTTAGCACTAAGCATTATAGACCATTGCTGAAAGCTACAGATGCAGCGAGAGTCTCTGACATTTTCCTCGGCAATTTACACGATGCATGAATGTGATACAGATTTCAGTTTTAGCATATAAAAACATGTGTACTATACCTTCAGTTTGGTAAGTCACCTCACGACTCTGCTCTGCCAACCAAACAGAGTGAACTGAATCACACAACCACAACAAGCGAGAGAAAGGTGGTCATTGCATTTGCAAGTTCCCCCCTGAAATCCTGCAACAAGTAGAAACTAACCACAGAAAGGAAAATGGAGAGAAATCCTGCAATTTATAGACCATTGCTTTAAGTAAGAATCCCTCTGCATTTCTTATTCTCCAAGTAAGCAATGGCCAGCTCCAAAGGAGCCCTGTTCTTGCTGCTCATCCTGTGCTCCTTCTTAATCACCCGCCAGGTAACACCATACATTACTTCTTTCTTTGATTCTTCATAGGTATCTTGTTCATGGTTCTCTGTTCGAGCTGTCTTTCGAGAAATGAAAAGTATCTCATATATGTCTGCATTCATTTTCTAAAATTTCAGTTCCAGTTCCATGCTGCTGTAGTTGATGATGCTGGGAAAATAGGTCGGTGAATCTGATTATGACGATGAGTATGCACAATGTGGAATCACTTCTGCAGCTAACTAACGTTTATTTTTGGAATGGGGCTGCAGATTGCAAGGGCAAGTGCAAGTACAGGTGCAGCAAGGCATCGAGGCACAAGATATGCATTAGGGCATGCAACACCTGCTGCCGTCGTTGCAACTGCGTTCCGCCGGGCACCTCCGGCAACTACGACACTTGCCCTTGCTACTACCAAATGACCACTCACGGCGGCCGTCGCAAATGCCCTTAGTTAGTTGCCATTTTCTTTTCCTACTTTGGGAATTGGGATCCTTTCATCCTGATGCAAACAGCTGATTTGGGTCTATGACGACATATACTACTGTGCCATATAGGCTATAGCAACGACTGGTCATTATATGTATGGTGTCCAATATAGCTACATAAAGATTGTGTCGATCAATCTGTAATGATGCTAAAACTTTGAAATTATAAAATTCAACATTTGGTTCTGTTAGAGCAACTAACCACTCTTTAAAGGAAGCAGTGGAAGGACAAAAACAAACTCAATTACAGACGCAGCAAAGAAGAATAATGCAGATGTTGTACATATCAATAGGAACTTGGCTCGTATTCTCTTCGGCATTATTGTCATTAACAAGTTTGGTTAACTAAAACTGATGCAATGATCAGAGATCGAGCAGAGAAGACATATGGGTTGAGGGCAAGGAAGCAGTAGTACATTTGTCCAAAGAACAACACATGGAAGTAATGGAGGCTCGAGATTATGTAATAGCAAATAACTAAGATGAACAAATCAGGAGGAATGGCATCAGAAGCAGAAGCAGAAACTTTTCCGGAATACAAACCAACTCTAATGAATGAATGCAACTTCTATGAAGTAGATCAGTTGTTCTTGCACAGGTATAACTCTATATATGCCAGGTATCTATGTTTGTAAGCTGCAGCTTACTTTTTGTTTTGTAAAGGTGTTGAATCTCTCAGTCCACTTACCCAGCTGCCTGAAAATCTCCAAAATCATCGTCAACGTTTTCTTGCATGCTTCCCATCTGCCCCTGAGACTGCAGTACCTTTCCCTCTTCCTTCGTAGTGGTGCTTGTGTCCAGATCAAGTTTTGGAGGCGAGTTTGTTGGGGTGATGTCCATGGCCCTTACTGGCGAAAGTGGACCTGGTGGGGGTGGGGGAGGTCTAATGCTAAGGATTGGCTCTTTACTAGCACCCTTCTCCTCCAGTGATAGATTGTTCAGACCTTGCTCAAAAAACTGGGACTTGATCCCACGACCGGGTTTTGGCTGACATTAAAATGAAGAACAGGTATCAGATTCAAAAGTACTGATGAGGTGCAATAAATTTCTCTATGTATAAGTCTTTAGTAGACAATTAGAAACAAATTTCTGAGCTTACATTTTTTATTTGGAGGACAAGGGTTTCCCCTTCTTTTAAACTGTAGTCAAGGCCCGAAGTGTGCTGAAAATGTTGTTCCATCTCTTCTGCAGTTTTCTTCTTGTCCAGGTATCTTGAAAGATTCATTGGGATTTCACCAAAAAAAAAAGATTAATTGGGATAGAATAAGTAACTACTACCGCATAATACAATAAGTAACTTCAACACTGCTCTATAGAACTATAGAAAATATTTTAGAGACCAAATGCAAAAGAATTTCATAGCCAAAAAATCAGCTGATAGGGACAGTGCTGAACATACTTCATGTGGTCATGCAGTGCTGCCTGAAAGTCATATGCTTCTGTTCTTTCCCGGAACCCAAGTCCAATAAATGCATGTCGAAGTCGACCACCTGCAAGAGTTACTATCAGTAGTAAGAAACTGCGCCGAGGAAAAGGAATAAACCAACCACAACAGATACGATATTCACGAATGGAGAGACTTTTCTCTCATTACTGACAGACGAAGGTATGTATTGCAGTAAACAATTATCAATAGTTAATCAATGAGGAAACAAATAGCAACGTAGGAAATCGACAGAGAGACTTCGTAGCTAAATTTAATTCAGAACATGTGCTCACCAACGTTTTCCTCTATCCGAAGGACAAAATATCTGCAAACCAAAGAACAGTTGTTCAGAAAATCCCCAAATCTTATTCCAGTAAATGAATATAAGAGAAACAGAAATGCAAACTATTAAGTGAATGCAGCAACCAATATCTCACGCATCTAGGCAGTACCTGCTGCTATCAATCACAGTTTCAACAGGATGAGGCTCCCCTTTCCTAAGGAATGCCCTTGCATATAGCTCACCTGCATTCAGGAGAGAAAAAAGACAACCCATCAACCAGGAAATATTAAATGCTTTAATGGCACATCCAACAATACCACTTCTTCCTTGGCAAAAACTACAAGGGAATCGAACCTGTGGATTTATCTTCCAGCCTAATAATGCATTCTTCGCCTTTGCTAACAACTTTCAACATCCCCTCCCATGCCCACTTGTTAACGTCCCATTCATCAGCCCTGCCAAACAGCATCACTAGCATAAGTCTGGATAAAGGGAAATACATTGATATTCCTTGTTTGCTTGTTGCTGCCTAGAAAACAGGATTTGATGACATCTTTCTTAGTGGCAAAAAAACCCCATACTACTAGAATTGCAGGATTATCAACTATTGACCTTAGTCCAACCATGAACGACCCAAGTATAAACATAAGTTCAGAAGGAAGTAAAAAATGCTCCACGCTTGGCAATTATATAGACCAAATAAAGACAAAGAAGTTAATTCGAACATAGATTTGGCAGAATTTGAAATAGATGAAACATGTTTCAGAAGACGAGGCAAAACCTGTAAGAACCAGCACTCTTCCTTGGAGGTATCTGCGAAACAAACGAAAAAAATCAAGTTTGGAAAACATCAAAGGGAAGCAATCTACAACTCAACAACTTAAACTAAAATCAGTCGTGGACTAACTGCATATATCTTCGATCAGTCTTCTCTAAAGAACATTACTTCCTCCCAAAATTCGAAACTTCCTGCATTCTGCCCTAAGAAGGGAGAGAAGATTGGACTAACCGCATATATCTTCTTCTTCTTCCCTTCTCTTCCTCAAAGTTCAAACAACATATATACTGTTAAAAATGGCTACTTTGGGAATTAATCCTCCGAATTCAGGGTGCCCCTAACCTCAAAACAACCTTCAAGCTGCTAACAAACAATTCAAGCCCTGGGCAAGAATTTGTGACCCCTAACATGCCAGTGGCTTAAAGAATTTCCTGAGCTGATCCCTCCTAAGAAATTTATCCGCTTAACTAAAAGGAATAGCATAGCTATCTACTCTGACTCTTCCTACCAGCCGATAATCTAACAAGCAGTACCCAGAAAACAGACTAAATTATCCAAAACAACACGGAATCAAGGACGATTCACGCGGCTCTCACCAGGTAGACGTAGCATTCGGGGACTTTATACAGGACAAGCTCAACGACGTCAGATTCATCACCGCCGACGACGACCTGGGGCGGTGCCGCCTCTTCCTTGGCCATGATCTACAACGGCTGACTCGCCGCCCACCAAGAGATGCCGATCGGACGAAATCCGGAGCGATAAGGCTGTGTCGTGATTGTTAATTACAGGGGATTGATGAATGGGTTTGGGTAGACAAGAGATCTTTGGAAGTGGAGAAGAAGCGAGGAAGGGAAGGAATGGGGGAAGCGAGTGATCGATTTTGACTCACCGGCGATTAGAGATTTGCTGGTGGCGTGTTTTCCTTTTCTTTTAATTTTTCTATCGGAGACGGAGAGCAAAGACCGGTGGAATTGGGCCGGGGTTTCTCACCAACTTTTGGGTCGGACTTTGAGACTGACATTCTACCAAAAAAATAAAAAAATAAATAAAGAGGTCATTTGAAGAAATTGAATAATGAAATTGTTAAATTTAGGAAGTGAAAGATTTTATTATTTGAATAATAAAAGAATCGATAGGATTCTCAAATATTTAGCCATTAATTCCTTCATTTCACTTCTTTCTTAAAGAAGTCATATTTGATAACTTTAATGCTAGACAGACAAAAACACACATAATTTTTCTTTAAAATCATCTATCTAGATGACATTTCAATGATTTCATCCATTTTGAATTAAATTACCCAGGATTGTCATCAAAGGCAATAGACACTAATTATGTTTTTTCTCCATGAACTCCAAGGACACTTTGGTGCAGGATGTGGTTAGTAGTGGGCTAGTGGCTTCATATTTATGTGTATTTGTGTTTGCGTCATGTTTTCTTTAGACTTTGATATTAAAATTTCAGGAGGTCTTGAGGTTGTCAATCGACGTATCCATAGAGTAAAGCGAAAGTTCATTCAATCTAGAGTTTGCTTCATTTACTTTTGTTAGTTAAGTCGATTGTGAATTTTAATATGGTTCCGTTTAAATCCAACTTTTATTTTCAACATATGGATACAAAGTTTACAACAAAATTTGATAAGTTGAAACTGGATGAGTGTTGGTTGAAATGGGTAAAGATCAGGACCCAGTTTGTATGATCCTTCTAATCAATTTGTGACGATCATGCCTCACGATTGAGGTATAACAATATGTTGTTAATCAAAATGATATGGTTTTGATGAGACAAGAGAATTCTATGTAAATGAAAGCAAACTTTTCCTTTGTTTAAAGAAGTGTGATGAATTAGTCGTCATTCAAAAAGGTTTTGGTACTTGGTTGGTAGGATGATGATGACGATGACTCTATTGAACCATTCTCAACAATATGCAATTGAGTCATAGTTACAGATAGGAGAGCTACTTCGAAATTTCCAGCCAGAAAGACCATTTTATTCTCATCGTCATTATTCTTCGTATTAAGTAGAGATCAACCAATTGATATTGGTTACAATTATCAGATACCGATAACTAGACGACCGACCGATCAGTTCGATGCAACGAAGTAGTAGTACTTGTCCAAACTAGGGGCATTTGGGCTTGCCACCATGGGTTTTGAGCTTGGCGTAGCAAGGGCAGACATGCTTGTGGCCGTAAACTCCAGGAGGAACACAATGGCACTTCTGGCAACATGCCTTGCAGGCTCTGTGGCACACCTTCTGCCTCGACGTTTCCTTGCACCTTCTCTTGCACTCCACCCCACAATCTGCCCAACAAGCAAGTTCATAACAAAAGCCCAAAGTCGTGAGAGCCCAGCCCAAATCTGTCAGTTCCATAGGTCCAAACTCCAAGCCCAATTTAATTACTCTTTTGTTGAGAAATGACGATGATGTAGAAGTTGGGACAACAACTTACTTATCATGACCTTCTTGGTAGGATGGTGATGGTGGTGTTTCTTATCAATGGATATAACATCACTAATGTTTTTATTACCCTGCAAAACCACAGTTTGCCAGATTAATCAACCTTACTTAGAAACTTAATTGAATTTCATGAAATAGTTTAGACTTTTAGGGCAAATGGAATAAAAGTGGGTAATTAATTCATTAATCTCCATTTTGGGGGAGGAAGGACTTACAACTAATGTTGGTGAAGAAAGAGTAGCAGCAGCAGTAGCATCATTGCTCCTTGGAGCTGAATCCCCCAACCCCTCAAATGCCTTGACAATACCATACAGTAAGAAAGAAGACGAAAAAGACTTAACGACAACCATATATGATCGACGTAGTATGAATTGTCGACCTACATCATCGAGTAAATGGTGAAGCTTGAATTTTCATTGTGTCTAGAATTGGAGGCTTACCTGGAGAAAGAAGAGGATGATGGAGATGAGAAGAACCAGGAAGAGCTTCATTCTTTTTTGCTTTCACAAAATGGCAAGGATATGTTGATAAGGTTTTTGAGAATATGAAATATATAATGCATGTGACACTAGAGCTGTGGGTAGGGGCAAATATATATAGAGAGGAATCCCTTTTGCACAAGGTTAATTTATATGACATATTGTTGAGTTGGAAATTTGGACTTACTTTCAAGGCTTCTTTTAACTCTATTATCATTTTTATTATGACAGGAACAAATATGTGTATTTTTAACATGCAAGACAGCAAATAAGTCACTACAGTGAATGGACCATATGCACTACTTATGGGTTGTGGCTAAAAAAGCATACATAGGAACAATGGGGACCAATTGCTAGCTCATCGGTGTTAGTAAACCTATTCAGTCCTTAGGATCAGTTTCGAATTGAGATAATTAAAACACCGCTAGTTTATCAATTCAAATCTCCTTACACTTGAAAAGTGGTAAGTATCCCTTTGTATTCAACATGAATTTGCATATTCATGTATGTCAGTAATACTATCATAGTTTCATTGATATTCAACTTAAAAGTACCGAATTTGAATCGTTTAAATAACACCTAACAATAAGCGGCACCTTGGAACTTATTTACACGCATATATATGGTGGATTTTTGGATGTAGTGTGCGCTTTTGAATAATGTTGCAAATTCTACAGGTTGGCAAAGTTCGTCGGATTGTGGGACATTGGTGATAATTTTGCATGGGCATACAAAAGTGCTTCCGTGGGTAGGGTTTTATATATACAAATGGTCCCATGGCCAAGTTGGCCGAAAATGAGAGATAGAGAGAATCATAGAAAGGTTTCGTTATTGGATGCTAATGCATATATTTGGGGTGATTAAGCAACATGGAAGCTAAGCAACACATATGAAAGTGGAAAATTGGAGAAAATGAATGTGAGAAGTTGGCATGTGAACCATGAAAGTGGTCTTGAGGAGATTGGTGATCCAACGGTGGATGAAGCTAGTGGAGAGTAATTCGCGATAATAGATATTATTGGATAATCATGTTTTTTCTGTGAATGTTATTTGTCTTTCGGAAATAATGATTTGCAAGACGATTGTAGTTGGTCGTACGAACTGCGAGGCATTAGTTTTAGAAATTCTGAAATTTTATTAGTTGATGTCGTCCAAACTGTTGGCGGTCTTGCTATAGGACGGTCCACTTAGATGTCACTCTCGGTTTGTTTATAGAGATTAATCTTTTTTTCAATTGCATGTGCTATTGTTTATCGTTTAAAAGTGCGATGCGCTTAACCTTACGCTCAGGTACACCTAGGCGCTCGACAATGTCAAAACGTCTCTCGCCTATGAGTTTCCTGCTTAGTTAAGTGTTTGGAATGAATAGATTTCTAACATTAGGTACTGGGAACACACCAACGGAGTAAAGTACCACCCAAATGTCTCCTAGGTGTAATTAGACGGAGTTAGGCAATCAATATCAAAGGAAGAAATTAATATCAACTACGAAATCAATTTCGTATCTCAATATTCTGACTACTAGCTCAACAACTTTGTCAGCTATTGAGCTATTATTCTATCAATTCGTGGGCTATTTTCTCTATCGTTAATTGTTAGATAAGTTATTAAATCATTTTAACTGAAAACGATTGAGTGTTTGCAGATTATTATTTTTTCAGCACTGCAAATAACTATTTGCACCAACACAGGCTAGTCGACAACCTGGTGAGAGAGAGTGCTACTAGGAACCGGAGTGCACCAATACAGGCTAGTCGACAATGGTAACTCAAGTTAGCTGAGTTGTTAACCAATATTGGCTATTAATTATCAATACGGTGAGGATTATTCAGTTTTCAGTCTGTGATTATAGTAATTTATGTTGATTGTGTAAATGTGGCAGATCCTAATTTAGATTTTAGAGGATTCAATGTGTCAACACACAATAGCAACAGAGTTTTGAAGTAAAGAACTTGAAAAATCTTAAAAAGTGATTTTTTTTTGGGCCAGAGATGACCCGATCACATGTGGATCGGGCTTCCTTTAACACAGTCCGGCCCGCTGAAGGTCAGAGCTTAGTAAATAAATAAGCGGGACGACGTCGCTTTGCTCTCAGCAACGGCCTCTGAGCGTCAACAGTAAATTAGGGCACTTGTCTTTCATTGACAGGCTGAGTTCAACTGTTCGTTGTATAATAATAATAAGCCGTCAGTTACAGTAGATTAGGAATGAGAGGAATGAGAGGGCAAGATGCCACCAAAAGTAAATGTAGCAGAAATACGACACCGTACTTTGTTAGGGCTGAAGATTGCTGAAAAGTGAAAAGGACAGAGCCAGGGTTTGTTATTCGTCGCCCTGAAATTTCTTATTTGTCGCCCTAATTCAGTCAAATTTACTTTAATATCCTTAAATCATTTATTTATCTTTCAAACACTTATCCCAACTTAAACTCATATATTGCACCAAAATTAACAAAATATAAGGAAAGAAACAACAAAACGAACCTCAAAATAAACTCAGCGATGGTGGCAACCTTTCTATGGCCATATGATCAATGCCCTTGACCTCAGTTCCATCCTTGCTAGAATGCTGTTTTTTTTTGGTACTGCTGATATATATAAACTGGGTTCAACTGAAATTAGCAACTTGACTTTGAATCAGTGAGAATAGGAAATATATTGGTACTCTTAAATTCATTGAGCAAATTTGAGTAGTCAAAAAGCACCAAGTCAGCAACTTTATCCACTAATCGAGTAGGAACTCTTCCTTCCTCTGCAGCCACGGTGGCGACGGGAGGCAGATCGACGTCGGGCAGGAGCAGGCAGGGCAGCCGGCTTCCTCCATCCCTCCGCACTCGAGTAGTAGCAGCTGGAGCAGGTGGCAGGGTTAGAATTATAATTGAGTTGAGGGTATATATGTCAATTTGTTGTGTTTTAGGGCGATAAAATTTGAACTTTAGAGCGACGAATAGCGATTCAGTTAGTAAATGTAGCAGGTAGGAGGTTAGGGCTGAAGATGGACGAAAAGGTGGGAAATTGGAGGTGATTTTGATTGGGGGGGGGGGGGGGGGGGGGGGGGAGAAGAAGACAGCAGCAGGGCGAGAGAGAAAGAGACATGATTCATAATTACCACCGTCCACCACACCTACTTAATTGGGTTGGTTTCGCTAATCGGGAATTCTCCATATTGATGCTACAGTAAATAAGAGTCTGTGGAAAACCTGCCTTTCTGGAATTTTGGGATCCTTTTTTTTCTTCTTTTCTTCTTTCAAACAAAACCAACTCTGCCCTAATCATGCAGTTCTTCCTACCGTTGAAAATTGCATGAGACCATGATTCATGGAAGTGAGAAGGTGGGTTATTGTTTGCACGTATCGAAAGTCAAATTGTATATGTTGTATGCGCAACAGGTCGTACTGTTTAAGCTAAACCGGATCGGATGCCAATGAATTGAAAAATTTAGTGGTTTCTGTTCTAGCGGTTAACCGTTATAGAAATGTTGATTAATCAATCGATGGAACCGTTCAAATGCTATAATATAAAATAAATATATAATACACTGATGTATGTAGGACTAAATTTATCACTGAGTATAAATAATGTCAAATCCATTTCATCGATCTATAGTAAAAAAAATTCTAACAATCATTCGGTCTATCTCACAAAATGAGTCAATTTTTTATATATATTAAACTAAAGTAGCATATGAGGCCAACAAGGAGGCTTAGAAAACAAAGAAAATAAACTTAAATACAATTAAAATGTTCGTAGTTTATATTAAAGTTTTTTTTTGTATGGTTACAATTCAAAAAAATCAGGATGGTTCGTCTGGTTGCATGTCAAACCATCATCAACTCGTTCGTTTCATCTCTAATCGTACAAGTAAAATGAAACGAACCACTACGATAACTTATCCGGTGATTCTACTAGTTCCAGCACGTAATCCGATTCAGTTCTTATCACAGTACTGTTTTTAACAAAACGTTTTCACAATTATAAATATATATGATCTCTCTCCAACTCGTCAGAAATCAAATCATCATTCAGCTTCTCCTCCCTCAAAAATCAAAATGGAGACTTCACCAAACTACTACTACTACTTCCCCATCTTCCTCTGCTTCACCTTCATCGCCTACAAAATCCTCGGCCGCCGTTGGATCAACCGCCACCACGATCCTCCCCTTCCTCCGTCCCCCACCGCACTCCCATTAATCGGCCACCTCCACCTCCTCAAGCCGCCGCTCAACATTTCTCTCCAAACCCTGCTCTCCCGCCACGGCCCCGTCCTCTTCCTCAGATTCGGCCGCCTCCCGGCCTTAGTCCTCTCTTCCCCCGCCGCCGTCGAGGAGTGCTTCACCAAACACGACGTCGTCTTCGCCAACCGCCCCAAATCCATGTCCGCCGACCACTTCACGTACAACTACCGCTCCTACGTCTGGGCCCCGCACGGCGAGCTCTGGCGGGGCCTAAGACGGTTCAGCGTCTCCGAGATCTTCGGACCGAGGGCCCTCCTCAGGTCCGCCGCGGTGAGGCAGCAGGAGGTTGCCGCCCTGCTCCGCCGTCTCCTGGCTGAGTCTCGTAGTTGCTCAGGAGGCGGCGATGGAAAATTAGGTGTGTCGTCTTTTCATAATATAAATAAATGGAACTAAAGTCGAGTAGAGCTTAGAGGAGTAGGGGAAAAAGTGAGTGTAGTGGTGGAGAATGGTTGCTAACAAATTGAATATGGTAACTGAGAAAAAGAGAAATCTATTTCGATTTTTTATTTTGTTTATAGTGTGATAAGTTGATTTTTACGTCGATAAAATTATAAGAAATGAGGTTTTGAAGGATGGTTTTTATGTAGGATTTTTAGAATATGAAGAATTTGGATGAAACCCTGCGTATTATGATTGAAGAATTATGTAGGATCTGTCATTTTTTGAATTGGTGTTGGATTTTTTATAAACAACATGTTTGCTTGTGGAATCTCAAAATTGATTTTACTATTTTTTTTAATATAAAGGTGAAATTATCACGAATCTAAGGTCAACCTCGTTTTTTTTTACAACAATCCCACTTACGTGAAACTTTAAGGCAAAATTCTCGATCAAAACCGTACAAGCAAACGACACCTTAAATGTATTGGCAAAATATCTTTGTAACACATGGTGAATTCGATCTCTTACATAAACATACACAAATATGTATTATTATAGTTTTTCCAAAACTTATGTGATGTGACAATTTGGAAAGGAGCAGCTACGGATGGGGCGGTGGTCAACCTCAAGTTCCTGCTGTCGATTCTGACGGTCAACGTCATGATGAGGGTGGCCGTCGGGTGGCGGTGCGTGGAGGAGGACGAAGCCGGCACGGCGGAGGAGAAGCGCAAGTTTCAGGAGTTCAAGGACAGGTTCTACCCAAACCTGGGGTTGACCGTGTGCGACTTCTTCCCCGTTCTGCGTGCGATTGGGTACGGCGGGATCGAGAGGAAGATGGTCGGGCTGATGAAAGAGCGGGACGAGTACTTCCGCCGCCTGGTGGATCGGGTTCTGGCGGAGAGGAGACGGCGGCGGAGGGAAGATTCCGATGATGGAGCAACCGGATGCGGAGAGGTGAAATCGGTGGCGGAGATTCTCCTGTCGTTGCGGGAATCGGATCCCGGATTCTACACCGACGAAGTGGTCCATAGTACTATTTCGGTGAGTAAATACTAAATAATAAACATCAGTCCAATCTCTCGTCTTTTCTTTTTTTTCCTTTCGATTTCTCACAAGGAGTTGATTAATGGTATGAATGACAAAGTGGCCCATATGCCAATTCAATCATCTGTTAATTCATGTAGCTAGGAAAATAGACCACATAGTTAGGAAAAAAAGGTTGGTTCAGAAATTTGGTCTGGTCCATGATCGATATTACGAGATATTTTGATTTTTTATCTGATTTGGTCTAAACGGCGGTTTATCATATCATATCGTAGACCTAACTCATTTTTCAATTTGTATTAACAGCTCATCACTCTGTCTAATCTCCCCATATGAAATCCAAGTCTCAACTTTAAATTTTATACAATCTCGCCAACACCTTCATTCACAAGTTACACTCTGTCTAAGACTAAATCCAATCACACGTCCATATGAAATTATGTTAAACTCTCATTATGGTATGATTGTGCGGTCTGATTTGAACCGTATAGCACACTGTTTTTCAACCCTACGTTTTAAACTAATCTAAGTCTGTCTTGTTTTTTGCGTTATGAAACAGATGATGTTTATCGCGGGGACGGAGACCACCTCGATCACCCTAGAATGGGCGATGGCGCTCCTCCTCAACCACCCACAAGCCATGCAGAAGCTCCAAACCGAGATCGACGACACCGTCGGCGTTCACAATCGATTGATCAACGAACACGACATCCCCAACCTCCCTTACCTAAAATGCGTCGTAAACGAAACCCTAAGACTCTACCCTCCAGCTCCATTCCTCTTACCCCACAGCTCCTCCGAAGACTGCACCGTGAAAGGATACCGCGTGCCAAAGGGCACGACGCTGATGGTCAACGTCTGGGCGATGCAGAGGGACCCGCAGCTGTGGGAGCAAGCGGACGAGTTCTTGCCGGAGAGATTTGAATCATCAGCACGGCCGGTGGCGGAGGAAGGTTGCAAGTATGCTCCGTTTGGGATGGGGAGGAGGTCGTGTCCTGGCGCTGGGTTGGGGATGGGGTTGGTGTCTTTGGCTTTGGGGTCGTTGGTTCAGTGCTTTGAGTGGGAGAAGAAGGAGAAGGTTGGGGGAGAAGATATGAGTGCTGATTTTGGGATTGCTCTGTCGAAAAAGATGGCGTTGGAGGCTAAGTGTGTTCCTCGTTGTGATGTGGTTAAGCTAATTCTGTCGAATGTTTAAGGGGGGATTTGTGGTTTTGCTTGTTTTGTCATATAATGTTTTGAGGTTCCATCAAAATGAAATAATGGTTTTGCTAATTACTAGTTGTTTGAAAAGTATGTATTGACTCACAACCTCTTTTTGTTGTATGACTGGGTTTAAAAGTACTTAAGGAATCCTTCCAATTTCTCTTCTATTTCATTGTTAAATTTTTTGTTACACTAATCGAACATGTGGAATAGGATATGGGATACTCTATTTATAATATAGAGCTTTTTAGTAAGGTGATTACTGTTTGGTTATATATAATAAAGAAGGCCAACAAACATGCAAATGCATGTGATGAAAAAAGATCACACAAAGAACAAAGGCCAAACATGCCTTGTAACTTTTTCTAGTTGTATCATACAATTGGTGCTGCATATTCGGTTATCCCAATGACCGAGTAATTAAATTCGAGTAAACCCGAATGATCATATAATTAGTGTGTATTTATGTACCTTTCATTGGGATTAATTAGTGGAGCAAACGTGCATCTTAACCAAAGAAAACGGGCCGTAGATGGGCCAAAACCTGGGCAAGTCAGGTGACTACAGCCATGGGCCCGAACTAACCAACCCAGGCCCCAAGGTTGGCCGCCAGTATAGGCCTACGTGCATGGATGGATGGTTGGATTGGACTGCTTTCTTTCCGGGAAAATACAATCAATAGATAGACCAATATTGTCACACCCCATACCTAATTACTAGCTTATTACTTGGTCTTAGCCGGACGTAATCCCTGAATTGGTACTCTGATTCTAACTTATATTACTAACTAGCATGTATGCGGTGATGGCCGAAGGTAGACTAACAACACTACAATAATTTGATGAAAAAGTAATTATCCAATTGTATTACAAAAGAAACACTCCTCTAAGTAAACAACTTGTATCAACATCACGCATGACAACACAAATTGTTTTGATCGAGATACTATCAAGATGTCGCTCTGAATAAGCCTCAAGAGTTTCTCAAGCTTTGTCAACACCCAATCAATTTGATATGGGTCATTGCCTCTTATTGTCTAAATTAAAGACGAGACTCATGGTTAGTCTCTTTCATAGCTTAACTTGACAATTTCTTAGAGGAGATACAACCACTATTCACAATTTCAAAACAACCACCTCATATAATACAATCTTTTCGGAACAACACTAATGAAACACCCAAATTACAATTTTGAACATGTTTCTTTTGAGGGTGTGCATGTGCATATTAAAAAAAACATAAGGATTAAGGTCGGAGCTTACTTGACATGTGGTTTGATGATCAAAAATCTCATAATCAAGGTAAGGCGTCAATAAATTTCAAGTGGAGAAGTCCAATCGGTCGGGTCTGGGCATGTGTATATTTCAACAGGCTATACTACAAACATAGAGAGTTTGGTTTCTCCTCCCCAAGAGGCAATGACAACATATGCTCACCAGATATTTATTCCTTGTAGAGAGAAGAATATCAATCCACCTTTTATATGCTCCAATTATACCTATCACTCGTGCTTTTTATGTTGTAGTAATTAAAAGTCCACTTTGAAATCTGGAGGCAAGTGAACACTATCCTTCATATTGTAAAAACTTATCTACAATCAAGATGTTATTTCACTCAAAAGAAACCATGTTTTATATGTTGAAGAATAACATTATAGTTTGAGTATTTCAATTCAGCAACGATCTCAGCTCATACATATGAAATCTATATAAAAGTGGTATGATTGAAGCTATTTATTATGTTAACACTAATTAAAATAGTCTTTTTTTACGAGAAACTAACCACTAAAACATTTCAAATTAGGAAAATAATGATACTGAAAAAGGAGTATCGTAACAACAACAACAATATCAATGACATCCCAGCTGTTCATCATCAATGCATACTTGCAATAATGTTCTAGCTATGCAACTAAATACTCGCAAAACTCTCTTGAGCAAAATGGAGAGTTGAAATTCTAGTCCTAGTAGCATTGATATATGAACTATAATACTATATAGCCTAAGCAAATCATTAAGTTGATTATATTTGTTTAATGTTGATTAGATAAACAAAGGCCATTTTCAAATACTTGTCAGAATAGTTATGGCCTACGGCATATAACTAGGAAACTTTGAAGAAACAGTTGAAGTGGAATTCAGTAGAGTTTTCTAAACCGGTTTCTAGTAATTGCAATAAATTCAAATACAAAATCATATATGTGTACTCTTCGAATATACCATACTTCCAATGATCAAGTCGTTTGATGTACTTTGATGAATAATAATCATCGATTATCATTTTTTATTAAATTGATTTTCTCGCTTGAATTTAGAGAAACGGGATCTGAGGTTTATCATACCCCAAACTTGGTTTGATTCATGGTATTCATATATATACATATATAGGAGTACTCAGAATATTGTATACTCCATAAGTACAATAGTCTGATTCATATATATGATATAATTAAAAACTAATTGAGAATGATTGTGTCATTTTATTGTAATTAATAAACATTTAAAATACTTGTAAAATTCATTTGGTAATCCCAACTTAATTCTTCATAATTACAATCACAAATTTGAAAGTATGTGTAAATGATGCCAATTTTCGTAATTCCTCAAACACAAAAATATTTTATTTGAAATTGCATTTAATATATATATAATATGTTCACGCAAAGAATTTAAAAAGGGAGAGGGAGAGCTATAAGCGTGTATGAGAATGCCAATGTGTATTGGAGTGAAATTAGAATTTAGACCCAAAGATACACATATAAGAAAGATTATTGTGGTATGATAATCTCTGATCGAATAAAAATCTAATTACAATTTCGCTTTACTTTCTATGTACTTTCTGAGCAGTACAACATGACCTTTATTCCTTTCATACGTTTTTCCAACTCACAAAAATGTCAATAATTGACCCTCACAGAACCAGAAAAATTAAATAACAACATTCAGTTATGTATCAGACATTCCCATGAGGGCAACAGATAGAATTCTGTCCTCTTTTCTCTTCAACTTTTCCTAGCGTATACTATTTTCTTTTTCTGGTTTAAGCTTTTCTCCAAAATTAATTAAACGCGAGTAAAACCTAATAATAATAATAATAATAATAAATTGCGCGTATTTATAATTTATCTACATTTCATTGGAATCTTTGGTAATTAGCAGAGGAAACGTCCATCTTAAACAAAGAAAACGGGCCGTAGATGGGCCAAAACCTGGGCAAGCCCGTTGACTAGACCCATGGGCCCGGACTAACCAACCCAGGCCCAAAACTGGCTGCCAGTATAGGTCGCCGGCGCCGAGACGTCAGACGTGCATGGGATGGAGGCGGCTTCCTTTCCGCGAAAAATATAACATCAAATAGTACTTGACTATACCGTAAAAAAAAAAAAAAATAGTACTTGACTCCCATCCTTCACAATTTCATTTTTATTCGATTACTAATTAATTCGGGATTTCCATTGCAATAGACATCACGACGAACGTGTGTCTTTGGCTCGATACTTTCACTGCTTACTTCATCGAGATTCAAAACAACTCATATGTATATATATATATATGACGTTTTGCTAATAAGTTGTCGTTCGCGCTTAGCATACATCTATTCGATTTCCAATCCGAACAATCAAGATTTCAGGACGACGACACTAAAAATTAGCCGCGATGTTCTAAAATATGAAATTTGACGAAGATCAACTTCACACTTTCACTATTTCACACATCTTGTCAAACCTAAAACACTAAACCGAGTGAAAAGACAAAAAAAGATCGTTCCCGTCTTTTTAATGACCTCACTACTAATAGGGGAATATTTATTTATTTGGATACTGGCACGGAGGGCAGGCACAGAGCAGCCGGGCCCAACTCCACCGTAGATCCGTATGCACCCAATCCGACCCCACCTTCTTCTTCCTTGTTTGCCCAAAAATGAATAAAGAAAACAAGATTTTCAGCTGCAGCGTTTCTGACCAACCCCCACACTCCAAGAAACTACTCAGAAATTATTAAAAAAAAAACCATGAATTTTCCATTTTGTATTTCTATTTGTAATGTAAGCAAAGCCAAACGCAGTCTTACTCCTTCCTCCTCCTTTCCCTTTCTCGCTCTGTTCTCTACTTGTCTCCAATTTCTCTGCTTCCACCGCCGCCGGCAATTTTCAATCAATGACCCACCGCCGCCCCATTCTCCTCTTCCTCCTCCTCCTCCTCCTCACCGCCTTCTCCACCACCACTTCAGCTCAGCCGCAGCAACCTCCTTCCCGACTCCTCGACAACCGCCGATTCGGATCCCCATTCAACGCCTCCTACTACACCCCCTTCGCCGTCGTCTCCCCGGCGACGATCTCCAACGGCGCCCTCCAAATCACCCCGGACTCCGCCGGCCAGTTCAACCTCTCCCACCAATCCGGCCGCGTCCTCTTCAACCAGTCCTACAAGCTCTGGGACTCCGACGACGGCCGCACCGCCTCCTTCAACACCTCCTTCCTAATCAACCTCTTCCGCCTCGACGATTCCCCAGTCCCGGGCGAGGGCCTCGCGTTCCTGATCGCCCCCTACATCCTCCTGCCCGCGGGCAGCTCGGGGCAGTACTTGGGCCTCACCAATTCCACCACCGACGGCGACCCCGCCAACCAGATCCTCGCCGTCGAGCTCGACACCTTCAAGCAGGATTTCGATCCGGATGACAACCATTTGGGGATCGACATTCACAGCGTGAGGTCGAACAAAACGGCGTCGTTGAGCACCCTCGGGATCGAGCTGGCCCCAGCTGGTGCCAAGTTCTACGTCGTTTGGATCCAATACGACGGCGTGAGGAAGAGCCTCGAGGTCTACATCGCGGAGAACGGGTCGGGTCGGCCCGCCCGGCCCGCAATCGAGGCGGCGGATCTGGATCTGAGGGGGACCGTGAGCCAGTACTCCTACTTCGGGTTCGCCGCCTCCACGGGGAACAACACGCAGCTCAACTGCGTGCTGAGCTGGAATCTCACGGTGGAGCTGCTCGACCCGGAGGAGGAAGTTCCCTCTCCCGCGGCCGCCGCCGGCGGAAGCTCCGGGGTGAAGATTGGAGTTGGAATCGGAGTGGCGGTTCTGGCGGTTGCGGTGGGGGGAGTGGTGGCGGCGTGGTGGTGGTGGAGGAGGCGGAAGGCGGCGGCGGCGGATCCGAAACTGACGGGGGCGCTGAAGAGTCTGCCCGGGATGCCGAGGGAGTTCGATTTCAAGGTTTTGAAGAAGGCGACGAACAATTTCGACGAGAGGTTGAAATTGGGGCAAGGAGGGTTCGGGATGGTGTTCAAAGGAATTTTGCCGGAGGAGAATGTTCCGGTGGCCGTGAAGAAATTCTCGAGGGAGAATATCAAAGGGCAGGACGATTTCTTGTCGGAGCTCACCATTATCAACCGGCTCCGGCATAAGCATCTCGTCCGGTTACTCGGTAAGTTGGCAAGACCCTCAATTATTATTATTATTATTATATTATAATAAGCTTATCTTTAGTTAAAGTATCTTTAATTGGATATATATGATGCAATTAAAATTGAACCGAACTTATGGTTGGTGAAAATTATTTTTGACTACATCCATAGTGACATTCATTAAAGGCGTTTAATGTCAATTTATGTCGTTCAGAAAAAAAAAAAGATGAAAGACAATAGAGATGTTAATGATTATATCGAGTCAAATTTAGTGATTTTGATACTCTGATAAACAATGTCGTGTCAGATATGATGTATAAACGAGTTAGACGCAAAATAGATTTTTAAGTTGATTAAATGTGAACCTTCACACAATATTGCAAGTGTTTATAATAGAATTGTTCATTGACCAACAAGCATTAGTCGTTTTGAGGTGGTAATGTTGATAGCAATTAATGGACTGCAATTTGTGACCTTTGAGGAATAAAAATAATGGCCTCAGCTTTGTGAATACTCATAATATAATCAAATAATAATAATAATAATAATCTAAATACAGGTCATGATCACCCTTATCAACTAGCCACTTTTTGGCTTTATTAAAATCAAAGTGTAGTGGGAACGATAAAATATTGGAAAGGGCAAACTTTTTCACAATCTGATTGGCAACTTTTGTCTTCTTTTCTTTTTTTTTTTTCTCGCGTAATTATTGTTTACACAAAACACACCCTCATGCAGATTCTCTTTGCTAGGAAGGAAGAAAATGGTTAGTGTTTTACAGCTAATTAACAACCTTTGAGTTTCATCTATGGAAGAAAACAATCGATTCGCCATTGTCCTCCATCTTATTATATCGGTGATACTGAACTCGCAATTTGATTAATACTTTTAATAGAATCGCGATTGAAAACAAATTCATTTGCTTTTTAATCGCTACAATAATAAAATTTTAATCAGGAAATGTGGTTTTTGAGAACCAATACGCTTTAATCACATAGACATGAAGGTATGCATGTGCAACAAAGACCATTATTATTCATTCCATATGTTCTTTATTTTCTTCTGGTAGGAAGAGCATTTGATTTAGGATTCCTTTTATTAAACAAACAATATTAAATATCCGTTTTACATCCACTAGCTACATGCATAGCCGGCATGTTGATTATATATATAGAAGGGAATATGCCAAACAATTTCTTTTATGCCAAATAAATTGGACTATTTTTTATTAAATATATGAAAGAGCACCAAATTTAAGTTTGACCATCAAAATTTGAGTCATACACACGTTTTCTATTCTTAAATATTTCTCATTTGGTTCATATAGTTTCTTGAAACACAATTGATTGAGGATTAGGTCAAGGTAATGAAAGGTCAACCCAAAGGTTTTCAGCACAACAATTGCAGGATCAAGTAGTGTACATTTTTTTACAAATACCCAAAGTCTTCCCTTTTACCTTTCAAAGTCCCAATTTTTTTTTCTTATAATATCAACAAGTGTAATCCATTCACCAATTGTTGAATTTTCCCCAATAAAAGGAAGTAGGTCCCCTTGATGTGTGGTGATAAAGATTACTTATCTAACACCCATTATACAATTAGGGTTTCTACGAATGAGTCCAAAAACAAACCATAATTATAAAATACAGGATTAGTTGGCGCTTTTCCTTTTGCAAATATGCATGATTAGTGTTGCTAAACAATATCATCATAATCTATGGGATAATGATTACAAATATAGCTCGTTCTTATCTAGAATTCTATACGAAGGATAAAAAATATACATGTTTTCAATCATACGTACAATCTAAGTTATAGAACTTTATATAGTGTCGTATTGACGACAAAATCAGTGACGAAGCTAGGTTGAAGTTAGGAGGGATTGTAGCCTCACTCAACTTTGAAATATAAGTAAAAATTACTTGTCCCTCAATTACCACGTTTCAAATCACCTCCCCTCATTCATATTTCAGGCTCCACTAGTTGATCAAACGGAGGATAATTAGTCGTTGTGATTAGTTGTTATAGTTAAACTAAAAGTTCTATGCTAACTATTGATGAATTTTGTATTCCCCGTTATGGTCACTTAGTTCTTTTATTCGTTGACTAATAAACTTTGACCGAATAATTTTTCAGGATGGTGCCACAAGAATGGAATGCTACTCCTAGTCTACGAGTACATGCCAAATGGCAGCTTGGACAAGCATCTCTTCGCCGGAGAAAACGACCATCACAACCACCACAACTTCCAAAAACACCCACCAACCCTCCAATGGAAGCTCCGGTACAAGATCGTCACGGGCGTCGCCGCCGCCCTCCACTACCTCCACCACGAGTACGACCAGAAGGTCGTCCACCGCGACCTGAAAGCCAGCAACGTCATGCTCGATTCGACCTTCAACGCCCGGCTAGGCGATTTCGGCCTGGCTCGGGCGTTGGACAACGAAAAGACGTCCTACGCCGAGCTGGAAGGTGTCCCGGGGACGATGGGGTACATCGCCCCCGAGTGCTTCCACACGGGGAAGGCCACGTGCGAATCCGACGTGTACGGGTTCGGTGCGGTCGTGTTGGAAGTCGTGTGCGGTCAAAGGCCGTGGACCAAAATCGGTGGATTTCAGTTTCTGGTGGATTGGGTTTGGTGGCTTCACCGCGAAGGGAGGATTGTGGAAGCCGTGGATAAGAGGCTTGGAGGGGATTTTGTCGAGGAGGAGGCCAGGAGGCTGCTTTTGCTTGGGCTTGCCTGCTCGCATCCGATTGCGGGCCAGAGGCCCAAGACGCAGAAGATCTATCAGATTCTGAGTGGGTCCGTTGAGGTGCCGAGGGTGCCGCCGTTTAAGCCCGCGTTCGTTTGGGCCCCTGCGGTGGGCCCGGACGGCGACGGGGAGAATACTACGACGAGTAGTAGTGTGATGACGATGGACGCGACGGCGGATACGACGCCGATTACGTCAGGGTGGTCGGCGGAGTGTGTTAGTCCGACGAGTTATTACGGTGGAGAAGGGGATACGACGAATACCAACAGCTTTTCTCCGGTTTGAATGGATTGGTGGGAGTTTGGAGGGAAAGTTCGTTTTTTTTCTGTTTCTGGTTTTTTTAATTTTCCTGTTGGGTGGCGGGAAATTGGGAAGGAACTTCCTTTTTTCAGTTTTTGTTTTGTTTTATTGGATTTGAATCTCTTATTGTAAAGCGCTTTTTTTCTCTGGGAAATATTGTGGGTTAATTTTTATTTTATTCAATTGGTCGTGATATATATAATTTTTTGTTAATTTTTATCACCCAATTTTGGATTTAGGTTCAATGATATTTACCTCGCCATTTTTAGACAATAAATTTTCTTGTAGTGCTACCCAAGGTTGTTAAACCCCTATCGAACCCCCCGATTGGACCCGGTTCAACCCGAGTCGGGCTTCAAAACGGCCTCCAGAAAACCCCCCGGTCTGACCCCTAAACAGGGAGAAGAAGAGAGGCAGAAGAGAGGAAAATGAACGAAGGAAGAGAAATGGTAGGTGGATCATGGAGGTTAGGTAGATTTATTTTGTTTAAAATAAGTTTTTAATAGATATATGTAAGAGAAATTTTATTTCACTCATTAAATTTTTAATTACTACTTTATTTGTATATATATTTAGAAAAAGTCTAAAACGGCTCAAACCGGCCGGACCCCGATCTGACCATTAAACCTCAAACCCCTTGCTTGACCGACTCAATGACTTAAACCGGTTTGACAACCTTGGTGCTACCTGACTTGCAATCCAACGGCAAACTACAATCATTTTCTAGAAAATTTTATTCTTCTCATGTATCACATAGATCTATTACTTGTTGTGATTTCAGTAACATCACCAACATTTAACTACTCAATTTTCTAAATCAGTAGCTCTCCTGATTCAATCCATTTCAATTTGCACAATATTATGATCAATACAGATAATGAGTTGCAATCGTTATTATCCGAATTAATCAACGCACCGCAAAAGCACACACCACGCGACTCAGAACTCAATTCCATTTGCTACTTCTGTGACCAAAGACTAAAAACAACATGAAGGATATGGTCTCATAGAAATCCAATAATCCGACTTCTAAGCAACAAGAACTCCAAGCCAACTCTAAGCAAGAAGATAGAAATTTAAACTGTAATCTTCTGACGATTCTCCTAAACCGTTGACAAAAACTAAGATTGCATACAAAAGATAAGAACGACTAGCTGAGATTGGAAATCCTTGTTTAATGAGGATTTCTAGGTAACTTACATTACATGGCAACGAGGATTGAGAATTCAACGAATAAAAGTCAGAATCCTAAATTCTGCAGAAGTCAATTCTTTAGATGTCTAAAGCCATAATCTTTATGTACAAAATAGTGTATCCAAGTTTTCTAACTATACAATCTAGATACGATGTTCTCTAAGCCCACCCTACATTCAACTTACTTTTGCTAATCCGACGATTTAAATAACAATACAACCCATGATAGCATCATTTTCTTTCAGGGGAGAAGACTAGTAACAATCAAAAAATTTGGAAGAACAGCAAGAGAGGGAAAAGATCATAGATGGTGAGGAGAACTTCCCATCCTTACAAGGGTTTTCGGATATCACAGTGAATATCGTCCGTCAGGCCTCTCTTTCGCTGGAGTTCTCTGCTCTTGAATCTCTTCCAACTCCTCTTCATCTCCCCGTCTGCCTGCCTGCTCTTTCCAGTATGCTATCTGCTTCTTCAACCGAGCTATCTCTTTCGAAGAAACGTTCTTGCTCGGGTCGTTCACTATGGCTCGTACTCGTGATGCATACCTGCAAGTGGGTTTCAAACAGGCAAAAATAGTAAGGAGTCTAGACTAAAGGTGTGGGCTAGACTGGTTTCATGGGAATGTCTGAGCCTCGATAAGTATCGTGACTTACGTGAGGGAATTGTATGTCTCGTCTAGATTCGATCCAGCAGGGGACACATTCACAAACATGAGGGTCTTGGCATTACCACCCAGAGAGTCGCTCATCAACATAGTCAGCTTGTGATTTCTGTAAGGGATGTGTTGACCACCAGTGGACAATGCACTGATCACATCCCCTAGAGCGGAGAGTGATTTGTTGATGCTTTGAGCTTCTTTCAGTTGGTTTCCAGTGGAGCCTGATTTCTTGATCCGTTCTGAACCAGCAAGATCCACAAAACTTATCTGCGAAATTGAGGCAAGAGAGTTAATATCAACCATGAAATTGATTAGAGAAGAAGATAGAAATGGTGTGTAAAGGTTACCTTTCCCCTTGCAACAGACTGCGTCTGAAGGTTTGTGCTCTCTATCACGACAGAGAGTATCAAATGAGAGCGAGAACTTTCTTCGTTCATTTGAGTCCCAGACGTGTGTCGACGCTCTGATCCTCGTTGGATAATGTTTTTTAGATCCTCAAACGTCGAGATTGACTTGACTGTCGCATTTTCGACTGAGACCATACCCTGGACAACGTGCGTGTTTAGAAATGAGAAAGAATCATAACAACCATGGATACAATAGCTGAATTAAATACCAAAACTCACCTTTGAGTCTTTCTTTATGTCCAGTTTCAAAGGCTTTGCATTTTTCGGCAGTAAGAGGTCAACAAGTGTATCTTGATACAGCTCGACCATATATGCCTGCATCAACAGATCAATATATGAGGACGAAAGTCTTGATTACAACACATTCATCACCACTTGCTAAGTCATCAAACACTACTAAGGTAACAGGTACTTCCATTACATAGGATATGAAATACCTTCAAAGAAAATGAGAATTTCTTGTTGTCACGTTTCAAGATGTTAAAGATTTCGGCAGTTGCCCTCAATGTGAGTCCAGGATTTCCATCTGACCCATATATTGTAAATGTCTTCCCAGAGCCGGTTTGACCATACGCGAAAATACAAACATTATATCCATCAACAGCGGATTGAACCAGGTACTGCATCAGTATAATTTCAAGAAAAGAGGTTAACAAAAGCCAACATTTGAGTTTAAAAAACCCCGTTGATTAGCAATATATTCAAACGCATCTTACTCTAGTATCTTCAAATATATCTTCTTGTGATGCACTGCCATCAAATACACGATCATACAAATGTTGTTTTGCCTTGTCATCCTTCCATGGGTGCTCAACTGTGAACTCATCTGTACTTGAGACGATTTGTCTTTCCCTTCCAGAAATTTCTTTCTCGTTTAAAGGTCTTAAACGGCAATAGACTCTAATCTTGCCTTTCATATCTAGAAAAATTGATACCGGAAAATCATACTCGAGGCCAGAGCTAACTTCACACTGCATTCTCAATATATTTTCAACTTTGGAAAAAAAGTCTAACCTTCAATCATGTTAAAGTACCGCTTGCGCAGCACTTGTTCTTCCTTGTAAAGCGCCTCCATCTCAGCTAGTTGCGCCCCTTGCATTTTCAATATAGCAGCAGTCTGCTCATTCTTTCTATCGATGTCCTGGAAAGGAAAAAATCGAACTTCATAAGAAATGCTTCAAAGTATTCAAGAAATAAGACAACAAAACCAGCACAGGATTATACCTCTTTCATTTCTCTTAGGTCCTCCAATTCTTTCAAATTATTCTGCAGGGCAGAGTAATCTGCCTCCCTATTTGCCAAAGTGGACTTAGCAATAGTCAAATCTTGGGTAGCAACTTCGAGCTTCTTTTCCAATTCATTAATACGGAGCTTTGATGCTTTCCTTTCCTGATCAAAGTTTCTTTCACGAACTTCAATCTGTGGAGAAAAATACTATTAAGTGACAACTGCAGCAAATAGAACTGAGGAAAGCAACACAATTTAAAGAATCTAGATAGCTTTCAACCTCGTCAATTTTCTTCTTCTCAAGCCTGGAGATCTTTTCTTCTAAAAGCATATTTTCATTTCTGAGCTTTTCTAGATTTTCTTGCAATGTATGCAGTTCCTCCTGTTGTGATTTTAGTTCTTCTTGCAGCTTCAGAGATTCCTTCTGAATCATAAATAACAGTTGTAAGTGGTTACACCATGTAACCAATAATTGCACCAACCAGAACAACCAAGATGGAGCCAAAACTTCTGCTTTCAGTTTTACCTGATAATTACTTGCAATCATACTCGCTTTGCTTGAAGCTAGATCACCAAGACTGGACAACTTTGTTTCCATGTTCCTCTTGTCCAACAGTGCAGTCTAAGACATTACATAGAGAAGAAACAAAATTAAAACGACCATTAAGAGGAAGATAATAACCTTGTAGTTATCATGTTTACCTGCAGAGCTTTGTCCTTTTCACCACACAAGGATCTAAGTCTATCACGATCAACTGTGAGAGCTGTTGAGTTCTGCTGCTCAGACCTCAATGAATCTCTCAACCCCTCCAATTCATCTTGCAGTTTTAGCTCTTGCTCTTGCCTGACATGCAATTCTTGAACTAACTGTAATGATCATTGGATAATCTGTCTTAATATCACCATTCTTCAAAACAATCTTAACCAAGACATTTTTATGAACGTTACCTGATCAGTATTTCTCTGAAATTCCTCAATACTTTTGGATAAATCCTGTATACGCTTTTCATAAATCTCAACATTCACAGGTGGTTTTGAATTATTAGAAAGATCTCCATTCATTAAGCTACCAGTAGCAGAGCGAGCTTTGGAATATCGACGTAACATGACATCGTTTATGTGTGTTTGAAGGGCAACACAGATTTCTTCTCCCTATACAAAAGAAGGATCAAGTTCATCACATGAGTGATTAGCAATAACCCAAAGAACCACAGAAAGAAGGGGCCAAAAGTAAACTAAACCTGCTTGGTCTCAAACTGAAAAATGTGAAGAACACCAGCAACTCTCATCTTGAAGAAAACAGCCGTGTTGCTACTGCCAAATTGCATTATGTCTCTCAACTCAGCAGAATGCAGATACTCCTTCGGAACTGGCCGGAAAAAGTGAACCTATGTAGAAAAAGATTATTACGTCATCCAGAGCACATTAGCATCCCAATCAAAGTGCATAGCTGATGAACATTCTGATGTGTAACTTTTGGTCCGCATCCAAAATTTCCCATCTCTAGGATATGCACACCAATTGTTAACTAGTGTTCATGGACATAAATTTCAATGATTAGTGTTGTCAAATGAGCTCATAATAGCCAATGTACTGGGTGGTATCTAAAAGATGGACTGGTGGACAAAATTTCGTTCCTAGTCCAAAACTTCCAATCTTTAGAATATGCGCACCAATTGTCGAATAGTTTTCATGGACATAATTTCATTGATTAGTGTTGTCAAATGAACTCACAAACTAAGAAACTGAGGGTATGTAGAGGATGGCCTAATGGATGAAATTTTCGGACCGAGTCCAAAACCGACTCGGTCCGAAATTTCATCCATTAGGCCATCCTCTACATACCACCCAGTTTCTTAGTTTTGGACTCGGACCGAAAGTTCATCCATTAGACCATCCTCTACATACCACCCAAGCCGTAGGATTAAGGATATGTGCACCAACTGTCTACAAGAATTGATGGACATTGGTTTCAACATGACATGAAACTTAACACTTACCCCTCTTTTATTGATCCCAAGAAT